TACCTATAGTGTCTAAAACTTTGTAGTCCGTTACGCCCAAACGTTGCGTCACTTGTCCGGTGCCCACTTGTCGCTCCCCTGATATTGGCGAAGCCATACATCATCACCCGGCTGCAGGCCACGTTCACCAGTGGGAGCGTTCTTTTTCTGGTTTATTTGAGTTTTAATAATTTTACTCTCAATATCCGGTCTAAGTACGTCTAGTTTAGTACGTAATCTTCTTCCTAACATGAGAGAAGCGGGACTTTCGCCCGTAGTACAATGTTCGGTATTTCGATAATGCAATAGGAAAGTGTTTAAAAATAAATTTATATTTATTTTCCCTCACTGCCTTTTTAATAACTTTCTAGACCGTGCGTACTGCGTTTTCCGCGGCACCGTTTGGAGCCGGGTGGTACGGTGCGGTGAAAACATGCTGTATACCATTATTTGTTAAAAACTGAGAAAATTCCCTACTGGTAAATGGCGGCCCATTGTCTGATACTAATTGTTTAGGTAGACCCCACCTAGCAAAAACTTCGGAAAGTTTAACTATAGTGTGGCTAGCTGCTGTACTCGGTACATAAAAAAACCTCCAGCCATTTAGTTCCGGCATCAATTATTACCAAGTAAATTTTATTGAAAATTGGCCCTAAAAAATCTATGTGTATACGAGACCAAGGCTTAGCTGGCCATGGCCACGGGCTTGGAGTGTGCCGTTGGAGCGCGCCCGCCTCGACCGCACACACGACGCACGCTCGGCACATTGTTTCGATTGCCTCATCGATTTCCGGCCACCACACATAGCTTCGAGCTACCGCCTTCGTTTTGACGATTCCCATGTGGCATTCGTGGAGTTCGTTTAACACCCTACCCCTGCAATTCTCCGGTATGACTACTCTATGACCCCACATGATACACCCTAGTTCTTCGTATAGTTCCTTTTTTCGGTTAAAATACGGTTGCAATGATTTGACCTCATTATCGGTGGGCCAATCTTCTCTTAAGTATAGTATAATTCTACCTAAAATCGGATTGCACTGGGTTTGTTTTTTAATTTCATTATAATCCAGTAACATTTCACTTTGAGCGAAATGTAAATACGTTTGTTCAGGTAAATCTAAACATTCGTTCTTTGTGGATTAAACCGATACCGGTAGACGAGATAAGCCGTCCGCACAGTTCTGTTTACTACTAACGTACTCTATGTCATAAGAGTAAGCGGATACCGTAATCGCCCAACGCTGCAATCGGCTCGCAGCCATTAAAAGGAATGCCATGTTTTGGGCCAAAAATACTGACAAGCGGCTTGTGATCAGTACGTAAGGTGAACCGTCGACCATACATGTATTGATGCAATTTTTTTAACGAAAAAAAACAATTGCTAAAGCCTCGCGATCAATTTGTGAATAATGTTTCTCCGCGTCGCTGAGAGCTCTCGACACATAGACAACCGGCCGCTCGCTTCCCGCTGCGCCGGCGCACGGCTGAGTGAGCACGCCTCCTATACCTCGAGCGCTCGCGTCACACGTCGGTATTAACGGTTTGTTTTGATCGTAATGCAATAATACTTCAGCACTGGTTAAGACTTTTTAATTTTAAGCTATTGCATAGCTTCTATCGCGGGCCTTGAGCGCGGGGACCGAATCCAGAAATTCCGTAACGAAAAAAAACCTCACGCTCCCCACTCCGACGGGAACGGAGGTGTGGCGTTGAAAGCCGTGCATCGTCTAATGTCGTTTCAGTACGGCAGACTTCGGCTCTCGGCAGACTTCGGCACGGTATTTGTGTGCGTGCGACTAGACGTATGCGTGTACACTAGCTGCTAATTCAATGATAAAAATTCCTGAATAACCTACATGTATTGTAAGATATTAAAAATATTTTAAACAATATTAACTTCTCATTTATTCAATAAGAGAAAAAAAATTGTTTTCTTATCGGTCACCACACTCAAAAAGTGTAACTTGATTTAATATCAAAGACTTAACTGCATAAATAAAATAAATAAATAATTATAATTGCATAAGTTGATAAAAAATGCTGCGCAATAGCTTTACCGCGCATACGAGTGCCACACGTATTTTTTTTTTAAAGAGTCCTCGCAACTTCTGTCCCAGTTCCGACGTAACACCCTTTTTTAATAAGCCGTAAAGTGGGGCTAAGGTAGTACTTAAATTTTTAAAGAACTTAGCGTAAAAATTGACTAATCCTAAAAATGATCATAAGTCCGAAATGTCCTTGGGGCGCGGAATTTTCACTATAGCAGCTACCTTGTCGGGATCAACTTTAATGCCATCTTTTGAAATAATATATCCTAAATACTTGACCTCGTCCACCATGAATAAACATTTTTCTTTCCTCAGCTTCATTCCGTTTTTATGTAATCTACTAAGCACCTTCTCCAATATTTGTAAATGCTCTCTTTCATTAGAAGAACCTATTATTATATTGTCTAAAAATACTTCTACCTTTTCGATATCGTGAAAAAGATTTGACATTATACGCTGGAAAATTCCTGGACTTGATGATAACCCATATACTAGCCTGTTATACGTAAGTAAGCCCCCATGTGTATTTATAACGGTAAGGTTTTTAGAGTTATCTAGTTCGATCTGATTGTAGGCTTGTGACAGATCGATTTTAGAGAATTTTCTAGCGCCATTCATACCTACTAACAAATCATTAATCCTAGGCGAGGGAAATCTATCGACCAGCAATACGGGGTTCAGCGTCACTTTATAGTCAGCACAAATTCGGAGCCCACCATCCGCTTTACGTACCGGCACCAGAGGCCCAGTCAAAGCTCTCCACGGGTTCAATAACCCCCTCCCGAAGCATCACATCCAGCTCAGCATCCACGCGGTCCTTGAGCACGTAGGGCAAAGGTCGTGCTCCCCGCGTCGCCTTGCCGCCCGCGAACCGCCCCACGCCGCCGGAAAACAACTTGTTATATCTGTCGAATAATAATGACAAATTATTGTTACTAAAATGGTCATCCAGCACCATGCTGTGGAATGTCGGAATTTTAATTTGCAGTTCCGACAGCCACTGTCTACCCAACAATGAAGTCGTGCCCCCATCTATTACAAACAGTTCTAAGTGCTTTGTTATATTTCCATATCTAACTTCGGGCTTGATGATGCCTAAAGGTTTGATTCGACTTCCATCATAAAATTTTAGAACCAGATCGAACTTGTCCATAGGTCTAGTGTAAAAATATTTATTATAAGTCGCTTTACTTATACAAGACACTGCCGACCCGGTATCAATTTCCATATTAAGTATAAATCCGTCTAATAATAATGTTAGGCTCACCGGTTTATAGCTATTTAAACATAGATTGTGTAGATCCTCCTGTAACTCCGTTTGACTTTCCACGGATGGTGGCTCCTCTACGGTGTCTCGCACTCTCCCGCCTCCATATGGTACATGTGGCGTCGGGAGCCCGCATTTCCCGTGTCCCCCCTCGTTTGGGACATACCCGACGTAGATGACCGCTCTGTTTGCATTTACCACACACGAATTTCTTATAGCGGCAATCGTCACTTCGGTGGTACCTCGACCCGCACGCGCTGCAATATAGCGCATTGCTGCCGCCATGTTCTCGACCTTTAAAAGCCCTCGGTGCGCTGTCCTGCTCCCGCGTTCGAGCGCGGCTTGTCGATGACGTCACCGCATGCAAGGCGCTGTCCGCGCCGCTACCGCCGAGCCCGTCGCCGCCGCCCACCTCCTCCACCGCGGCCGAATCCCGCTCCGCCGCCTCTAAAGCGCAAGCTATTCTCACGGCTACGGAATATTTCAGATTATCTTCTGCGAATAATCGTTGACGGATGACATCACTTCTTAGCCCACACACCAATTGATCCCTTAAATTGTCCTCTAGAGTTGAATGAAACTCGCAGTATTTCGACAATTTCTTAAGTTCGATTATACACTGCGGAATCATTTCTCCGCTCAACTGTCTTCTTTGTCGAAAACGATATCGCTCCGCCATGAACGAGGGTTTCGGTTGAAGATGTTCCCGAAGTATTTTTACCACTTCTTGATAAGATTTATCTCCCGGTTTAATCGGACTAGTTAAATTACTTAATAATTCGTAAAATGTTATTTTAAATAATGTGAGTACGCTTATGCAAGGTTATTGCGGAATGATTAATGTGAAACGTCAAAAGGTATTTCTTAGATTTGGTTGACTATAGTCTCAGAGCATTCATAAACACTATTTACCACAGGGAATGCTCTGAGAAATTGTTCGGACTAATTCCAGCCGCACAATTTCACCGTCGCACATCGTGACGAAACTCGCGATACCATCCATACCATCTGAATGACTGGCAGTCCACCACTGTGCGATTTAAAAGAAGTTTCCTTCCTCGCACAACTTCCTTGTGGAATCGACTACCACCAGAGATTTTTCTGGACCGTTACGACTTAGGATGTTAGCTGAGAGCCGTGGTAGCTCAGTGGTTAACGCTCGCTGTAAATATAACAGAACGTGAGTAACCCGGGTTCGATCCCCGCCGGCACCAATGAAATGTTAATTGCAATTTTAAGTGCTGATTTACCACGTGCTCGACGGTGAAGGAAAACATCGTGAGGAAACCTGCATGTCTGAGGAATAAGAAAAAAAAATATTTCGAAGACATGTGAAGTTCGTCAACACGCATTTGGGCAGCGCGGCGGACACTTCCTTGCCCTAAACCCTCTCAGAAATGAGGGGGAGGCCTGAGCCCAGCAGTGGGACGTATATAGGCTGTAACACTTTACTTTACTTTACTTACGACTTAGGGACCTTCAAAGAAAAGAGAATACTCCTTTTTAAAAGGTCGGCAACGCATCTGCAATTCCCTGGTGATGCAGTTGTTCATGGACGGCGGTAGTCACTTACCATCAGGTGAGCCGTATGCTCGTTTGCCCCCTCTCTCTCTACTATAAAAAAATTTGTGATTATACTGTCGCTTAATTTGTAGTGTGCATACTGGATAGAAGTTGTCCTTACGGACATCTCGATATTTCAGGTTGTGAAGCAGTTAACAGTAATATCTAAGATGGGTGACTCGTACGAGCTGCACCTACTGCGCCATGCTGTCAGCTTATTACTTCACCACGACGCTATCACAGGTATTTTGTTACATTTCTTCTTCTTCTTCATCAGTTCATAAAATTTCACTGCTGGACCTCCGGTCACTCCCTTTGTAAGGCTTGTATTTATCGACACGATAAAAAGGGGAGGTTTATTTATTTATTTAAAAATATTGGTTTGAATATAATTATTTTAACAATTTAAAATATTTACAGGAATACAACAGAAGATCCTACTTCTGTAAAACAACAAGAAAGGTTAATTGTTAAAAATGGTAAAAGTGTGAGAGCGGATGTTCAATTTGCTCTCTTACTTACGCAATTAATCATTATAAGTAATCAGACGGCGTAACGCAGAAATTCAGTATAGAGCAATTACAGTTCGACCACACCGTAATATGTCCCCGTCACCATTACACACTGGTGTAACGTGAAGGAGGTAATTTCATGATAACACCAAAGTATGCAAACCAACAACTACATTACACATCTTAGTGTAACTCGGAGCAGCCTCTTAGCAACACCATCTTCCTCGCCTGCACCAGAAGAATCACCACAATGGACAGAACTGCGATAGTATCTTGGCACTCGTAGAATGAATTCACTCGCAGAATGATGAAAACGGAACCTACCTCGATCGGCACATACACTGAACTTTATAGATCTACCCGAAATTCTACTCCGCCATCATCGATATGATGATTCGCTAGAGTGACGCAACCTCTCGCTCACTCCATCCGATATTTTATAGACAATACAGCATATTTTTGTTATACTCACTCTTATACTTTTTTCAGGAACCAGCCAACAGCACGTTACCCAGGATTTCATAAAAACCGTAACGGAAGCTATTGACTCGTGCTCTAAAAAAGTGTCACAATATCTCAGGTATATATTTTCACCTTATACTTTCAAAATCCACATGTAACAAAAATCTGACGCGCAAAAGGAACAACCAGGCACACAAATACCACCTCAGGGGTGATAACGGATTATCATATTGATCCTTAATCGAAGATAGATGAACATGGCTATAGACCACAGGATTGACTTACTATCAGTTGGACTGTGTGCTTGTTTGTCACTCTTACATTATGAAAAAACATATGAGGGAACCATGATTTCAGTAACAACAACCTTCGACGATTTACCATAATTGCACATTTTAATTGCTTGATAAGTGAATTAGTAGAACGTAGATCAAAATGTCTTGCATTTTGAATGTTGCCAACAACTTCTGTAAAATTATTAATTTTGGACTTGGTTATGCAAAAAATGAGCCATTTTTTGTGTAGACCTTCGCTATAGCAAATTATGGCGGCAGCATGAATGTGTCGGTTCGACCGGGAAAGAGACACGCTCGCAGAGAATATACCTTAAATAGCAGCACAACATAGCTTCTGTATTTCGTAAGTGACGAAAACTAAAGACCCTTTTTATTAGTAACTGGACGTTTCGTCTTAGTCTTTCTTTTTTCTTTTTAAAAACAGCACCAGCATATTCTCCTGTATCCTTAACGCGGTTTACATACATAAGTTACACAAGGCCAAACATTCAGACTCGGAACAATTACTTATAAGCACTACAAATACTTGTTCCGTGCGGCTTTCGAACCCGCGGCTCTCAGCGCCGTAATTCATTGCTAAGGCACTGCGCCGCGGAGCTGTATAGTCAAGTCCACAGGTATAACAGTGAATCTGCATTTAGATTCATAATCGAGGATAGATGGAGGAAAATTGGCTAGCCAATGTATCTCGTGCACCCTTACTTCCTTTTATGGTGTTGATGTATGATAAATATTGCTTAATCAAAATATACTTTCAGCGCACTGACACCAACTTGGGGAGGCAGCCGACGTTCCAAAAATAATCAACAGTTTATTATCTGTCATCAGTTGAACATGAGTCAATGTAGAGTGAGTAAAATGTATTAATAAATGGTAAAGTCACGCTGCAGTTATATTATGGTTGTAGCACGAATGGGTCGGCTCGACCGGGGAAGGACCACGCTCTCACAGAATACCAGCGGAAAATAGCAGCTTGATGCTGCTGTGCTTCGTATGGTGAGTATAAAGAACCGGAGACCCTTTTTCCTGGAAACGTGGCATTCCATCGTAGCCCTCAGGGGTGATAACGCATCTGCATTTGATTCTTAATTGAAGAAGATAAATGTAGACGTCTATGGGCCACAGCATCCACTTACCGTCAGGTGGACTGTGTCTTTGTCACCTCCATTCTTTAAAAAAATACCACATTGAATATTGAGTACAAATACTTCACATTCTTTTCTGATTAGTAAAATTTATAGACATCTATAGCAATATGAACATAGCTCCCCAAGTATAAATTACGGACTATGTTCAACAGTGGACTTGTGAAGGGCTGTGATGATGATGATAGCAATATGAACATTATTGGAAAATGATTAATACGATAACTCAATGGGTATAATGATTAACTATTTAAACTTTAAACCCCGCATAGCAGCGACTATCTTTTTAATTCAACAAGCAACAAAATCATTAATGAATGATTTCACAGTTCTCGGAGAGCCAGGACACTATGCTGCTGTTGGTGTACAATCCGTCGAGCGTCAAGACCTACTACCACGTGAGGTTGCCGGCCATAGCGATGCATTACTCTATACGGGATTACAATGGTAACCAAAAAGAAAATTTCTTTAATATATCCATTCAGTTATCCATTACAGCGTCGCCTGCTGCACTGCCTACCTGCTTATATATTACAGCCTATGTTGTTGACTGCCTCGTTTGTCTAGTGGTTGTAGTAGCACGACTGCTGATCATGAGGTCCTGGGTTCGAATCCTGGGTCGGACCAAAAAATCAATTATTGAGTTTTTCTGTCAAGAATTTTTCAGTAGCAGCCCGGAGTCAGGAAGTTGGTGGTGTCTCACCCCCGTGCCTCGGAAAGCACGTAAAGCCGTTGGTCCTGCGCCTGATCTCTCTCCGGTCGTGTCGGTTTACCGTCCCATCGGATTATGAGAGTGAAGGAATAGAGAGTGCACCTGTGCTTGCACAAATACTTGGGCACTATAATCCTGTCCTGCGCCGATGGGTAGCCTCCGTTGAGGCAGACCGCCATGGCCGAAATTCGGTCTGGAGGACATTATTACAGCCTAACAGCCTATAACAATCCATTGCTGAACTTAGGCCTCCCCCATATATGGACCTATACGAGGTTTTCACCATTGCTGCCACGCTTGGCGAACGAGCCAACAGCCGAAGATTTTAATTATTTTGAGTTATTATTGTTGTGCGCCACAATTACTGCCTGGTACATGGCGACACTAGTTACCATTAATGCCTTCTAGTAGTAGTAGCAATACTAGGAGAATCAGGTTCCATCTAGAAATTTCCATGTTAGAACTTTCTAAAACTATCGGCACCTAGTCAGTCGGGACCATAGAATACTATAATATATACATAATAGAACGGAGGTGTGGGCTAGTGTAAACTAGTTCACCTTCCTTCTGGAACCCGTGCATTCTGGTCTCTCGTCAAGGCTGTCCAGGGAAATTTCTGTCAGCCATCTCTTCCATCTCTGCAGAGGGAGGACGACTCACTGGCCATTGCCGCAAAGAAGAAAGCCGATCTGCTAGGCTCTTTCTTTGCGTCCAACTCGGCCCATGTAGCCACTAAAATACCACTAACATTGACGTGTTCAGACGTATAAACGTCAACACGAGATGTATTTTGACGTTACAATCGTTTCCAAATTTCGCAAGCAAATTCCGTCTGTCAACATAGCGAATCGGGTTTTTAGAAGTGATTAACTGATAGTAGATTGTTTATGTGTGCTCCCGGTGACACCTAACTTCGTACAAAATAAGGTTGACAGCCATTCTATTGTGTAATATAGTATTTTATGGTCGGGACCGATATATACTCGAACATTCTAGATGTTTCTACAGTAGAAGGTTCTGGAACTTTTTGTGGCCCTATATGAGGCCGGTATAGACCACGACTCAGGGAGTATTGAATTGGCGATACAAACAAATACTTCCAAGCTATGCAACTGCGAAATAAAGTGATTAGTAGTACAGTTGTTTTTTGTTATTAGTGTGTTTTAATTTGTAATTAGTGTTTTGTAATTCAAGTGTCAATTTTGGTAATTCACTCAGCAGCTTTTATTGTCTCGAACCCCAAGCTCGTAACATCAAGATGATTTTGCCTATCTCCGGTTTTAGTTTCTCTCTGTCGTCTCTAACGACACCCACGGATATGGGGTAGAGGATTCTCTTACGCCACTACCACATACAAAAAATATGGCCGATCTTTTTACAGAATAATGGTAACAAACGAACATATAGTCCACCTGATAGTAATTGGATGGGTACTGTGGCTTCTAGACATTTGTATCTATCCTCGATTAAGAATCAAAACGCGGATTAGTTGTCACCCTTGAAGACTAAGATCGAAAGCCTCGTTTCCAGTAAAAAGGTTCTCCGGTTCTCTACACTCACCATACGAAACAGAGCAGCATTACACTGATATTTTACGCTGGTGTTCTGTAAGAGCGTGGTCCCTTCCCTGATCGAGCCGAGCCATTCGTGTTACATCAATAATATAGCTGTACAGCTAACTAAATTAGTTATCAAAGAATTCACCAAGTGCAAGAACATACATAAGTTTATCGCGCATTTCAGACGAAGAAGTGGAATACCAGCTGTTACCACTGCCGGCAGCCGTTATAAACCTACCTGGACGGAGCTCCGCTGCAATTCAGGAGCTTTACTTCGAGGCGGAAAACATACCGCCAATAGGTTACACAGCCTACTACATAGCACCGATTAGAGACCCACTGGTAATTTTATTATTTTTCAAAATAATTTATTTATGACAAAACCTGATAGTTGATCAAAAACTTAGGCTTTTCAATCTTCAAAAATTATCAAAAACCGGAAGAAGACAAAATTACAACTTTATGTTATCATAAACCTGAGAAAACCTGAGTAGTTTTTTTTTGCAAAAATAGAATAATAATATTCAGGCGTTACTTTGCGTAAATCCCAACTTTAATAGAATAATCTAGTTTTATGATAAAATCAATGTTAGCTGCTATTTCATTAAATAAATAAAAAATACGTGTGGCACTCGGTGACTGCCGCGGTAAAGCTATTGCATAGCATTTTTTATCAACTTATGCAATTATAATTATTTATTTATTTTATTTATGCAGTTAAGTCTTTGATATTAAATCAAGTTACACTTTTTGAGCATGGTGACCGATAAGAAAACAATTTTTTTCTCTTATTGAATAAATGAGAAGTTAATATTGTTTAAAATATTTTTAATATCTTACAATACATGTAGGTTATTCAGGAATTTTTATCATTGAGTTAGCAGCTAGTGTACACGCATACGTCTAGTCGCACGCACACAAACACCGTGCCGAAGTCTGCCGAGTGCCGAAGTCTGCCGAACTGAAACGACGTTAGACGATGCACGGCTTTCAACGCCACACCTCCGTGCCCGTCGGAGTGGGGAGCGTGAGGTTATTTTTCGTTACGGAATTTCTGGATTCGGTCCCCGCGCTCAAGGCCCGCGATAAAACCTATGCAATAGCTTAACAGTTAACGCTATTTAACTAAATAGCTTTAATTTTATCATAACCTAATCAAGTTCAGGATTTTACAGAATAGTAATAAGATTAATTAATAATTTTATGTTCTTCCGGTTCTTGATCAAAAGCCAAGGTGTTTGATCAAAAACCTAAATTTTACCATAAACACACAACTCAAAATTTATAGCTCATTGAGTTAATTTGTGAGTAAATATTTTAATAATTTTAAAAAATTCTTCGTTTACAAATTTTACTCTTTTATGGCTTTTGAAGTGCGAAGTATCGTTAGATTTTCATCTCAAGTAGTGAGTGCAAAACCAATGGCTTTACGTGTTTTTCGAGATATGAGTATGAAACGCCAAATTTATAACTCCGGACTGTATACTGAGAACTTTTGGATAGAAAAACCCAATTACTGATTTTCAAACGATCCGGATTCGATTCCAGAACCACATAATCATCAGTTACCCTTACGTCAACTGGACTAACGAGGCGATCAAATCATCATCATCATCAAAGCCTATTAAAAATCATCATTCAAAGATCGCTGAGTTTCATTGATGAGATTTTATAAACATTATAGCAGTACAAAGTAGAAAGCGATTAGAGGATCAACACCATACTTGCTGTAAAAGTCCGTAGAATAAGGGTGATAAACGAGCACATAGTCTACCTGATAATTTCCAGTAAAAGGGTTTGAATATAAGATTAAATCACCACGCTTTAGGCTAAAGGGGTCCGGCAGAGTTTTTTGTAGAATAAGGTTGGTGAACGAGAAAAACTGATGCCACTTGATAAGTGGACGAAGTGGTTCATAGACATCTACATTAATCGTTGTCACCCCTGCAGATGAAGGGAGAGTGCTTCGTTCCCAGTAAAACTGTTCGTCGGTTCTCTACACTTACCATTCGAAACACAGCAGCATAAAGCTGCAGAATGGTTCTACTAGGTATAAAATTATTTAGTAATTTCTTGTAGATGGCGCGATGAGTTTCACTCCGTATTCACAGCGTACTGTTTACTATCTGCGCCACCTATCGGGTGCAGATTTTGTAATTTTGTTTTTGGTAGTAACCCGCATACCTTATTAAGATCCTACACTTTAGACGGATAGAGAACTTGTTAATAACCTGACTGCTTTGCTGCGCCACCTTTAGAACTTAGACCTTCTTCTTAGAACAAGCAGACATGCCAAAAAGGGTACGTAAAACAAAAACAAAGAGGACGAAAGAGAAAAAAGCACAAAGTCGTATACTATAACTAATATATTAAGAAAAAAATAGCAAACAAGCTTTGGCAATAATTAGGAATACTTCGAAAAATCAATTTAAAAAACTAAGTAACTACACTACACTACAACAATACTTTATAGACTGTGACAATACTAATATCGACTAAAATAACATCAACTGTCAAAATGACGACGATAAAGCAGCGCCCTTTTGACCTTTATTATTTGTATGACTGATGAAGAGTTATCGTATCACAGAACTATCTATGCAAACAAGGCTGTAGTTTTTCTGTAATAAGAAAGTGCATATGACCTTTTTTGGCTACATCCCCACTTACTATTAGGTAGTATAGTTAAAAATATATATATATAACATAACATAACATAAACACTCACGCCTGTCACCCAGAGGGGTAGGCAGAGATTACGGACTTCCATTTGGCACGATCCTGACATACCTCTTTCGCCTCCTTTACATCCATATATCTACGCATACATGCTCGTCGGTTAAGGGTACTTCTAACGTGGCCCATTTTCAAAATATCGCCAATTTGGTCGACAAACTTTTTTCTAGGGCGTCCCTTCCCGACTCGGCCGTTCACATCTGCCATATAAATTTGCTTTGTCACTCTTTCATCATTCATTCTTTCTACGTGACCAAACCGTATATATATATATATATATATATATATATATATATATATATATATATATATATATATATATATATATATATATATAAGTAATTTATAAAGATGGGTACACATAAAATAGTATCAAAACACAAAGGGAAAACTGACGTAATGGAACAAAAGTACACAAAGCTTCAAACTTATCTGCTTATTTTTATTTTTAGGAAGAATCCGTATTCGCAAAGAAGACTCACCACAGCCCTGAAGCCGATCAAGAACTAACACCAACTATTTCAAATGAGGTATCCAATTAAAATCAACTTTGCATGAAGTTCTAATTTTTCATTTTTTTATAAAACGGAAGGGATAAGCGAAATTGTAGTTCTCTTGATGGTAATTGTGTATCATTTACCATCAGGGATATTTTTCAGAGAGCGTCCAATTTTAAATGTCAGTTAATATATATGAAAAATGATATACCGTTACTGCAGTTTATGAAAATACGAGTAAATAAGGCTTCTACATTTATTTGAAACTATCCTTAATTGAATGTGGTGGATGGGCAACAACGTTTTTGCCAACCGTGCGCAGTAAAATCTATTAAAATAATGTACTTAGAATTTAAAAGATAAAAAGGACAGAATTTTTGAGATTTTTGTAGCGGCGCTGTCGTCGCCGCCACAAGCGAAAACACACCGAAGCCTAAATCGCGCTATCAACATTCCGAATCATAAACAGTATATATGGAAGATCTCCGAACTATCACACGGAGTGTTGGCCGCTCACCGAGCAGAACACCTTGCCCGGCGGGAGATCTCCCCTTTTCCTACTACGGCCACAGTAGTAAATATATGCATTCGCTGCGGGAGCTCGTGCCACGCTCACCCTCGTTACTCCGCGAAATATAGTGATTAAAAATAATAAATAGTATATAATAATAGAAATAGTAAGTGATATCAAATTGTAAGTGTTGTATAAGTAAATAAATAAACTTGTGTGCAGGAATAAACTATTAGAGTGTCTGTTTTATTGGAGTCAGGCTAATGTACCTGGTCAGGCTAATAATACCTGTAAGTACAACAACGCCTCGTTATAGTGGTGACCATCCGACGTGATCTGAACATGCAACCAAACAACCTTCGGAAACTTCAAGCTTCATCATCGTCATAGAATACCCCACCCATTCGCTCCCGAGCAGATATCGTCTGCAGTCTTCATATCCTGAAAGCCATCTAGCTTCACAAGGTTCATCGCAGCACTAGAATAATAATGCTTCCTGTTCCTTCAAGCTACTCTCTGCGCTATACAGTGTTCGGCACGGCTCTGAGCCTTACTGCTCGCCTCTGCTTCATGGCACTCTCGCAGATTACTTGCCTTCTTCTCGACTCACCGCAGACTACAAGGCAATCTCCCTGGCACTTGCACATTCGTAGGCAACGAGGCTGCACTATCGACCTCCGGTCTGAACAGGGGGGTGATGTAGCGGCGCTGTCGTCGCCGCCACAAGCGAAAACACACCGAAACCTAAATCGCGCTATCAACATTCCGAATCATAAACAGTATATATGGAACATCTCCGAACTATCACACGGAGTGTCGGCCACTCCCCAGGCAGAACACCTTGCCTGGCGGGAGATCTCCCCTTTTCCTACCACGGCTACAATTTTTAAATTAATTTCTCCACAAATTTGGACGTATATTGAAAAATAACCCTGTATAATTTTTTATATTTTTGGCAATATTAGATGCAAAGTCTTAATATATATAAATTACATGTCACGTTGTTTGTCCGCGATGGATTCCCAAAGTACTGAACCGATTTTAATCAAATTTGCACGCAGTTTGGCCCAACTTGAGAGATAGGATAGTTTTTTGCTCACAATTTTTGTTTTGCGAATTTAAGGATTTTTAATAGGCCATGACAAATTGTCGTCGAAAAGGGCAGAACAACGTCTGCCTGGCAAGCTAGTATATATATACGAGTATATACAACACGTAACATAATTAAAGCACTTTGAGAAAGTAGTTTGTTCAGAATCGTTTACTGAATCGATTCCTATCATTTTTAATATAGATAATTTTTTATCCCAAAAATAATTAAAACTACGTAAATTACAGTCACACTAAATCTGTACAGTCAAAATAAACTGAAATGGACCGTAACTTAAGGCAATAAGACTTTTAAGAGTGCAGTTTTATTTGTATTATTACTAATTCTGTTATTCAACAAAATAAAGAAAAATTAACTTTATTTCAAGCACGTTAAAGTCTTTGCGTTCGTGGATTTGTACTGTGATCACAACATTCTTCCGTAATTAGTAAAACTAATTTGATAAATAATCAGTGCATAAAAATGTTTAACTAAAAATTCAGTGTATGTATTATGATTATAACATAATATACTAATTGGGGTGTCAGAGGGTGTGCGTTAATTACGTTACATATTGTATATATCTATATATATATATATATATGTGTGTGTGTGTGTGTGTGTGTGTGTGTGTATTGTAAAAAAGTTTTAGTCAATCCCAAATAAAAAAAATTATGTTGTGCAGTAAATAAAATCGGTTTTTAACTAAACGCGAACGGAGCCGCAGGTAAAAGCTAGTAATATTTATTTTCAATAGAATAGCCAATCAACAAGTTGGCACTAGGAAAAAAATTGCTAATTCCCCAATTTCTGTTCCAGTACCTGAAAGTAACAATAGACAAAGACAGCGGTCTTCTGGAGTCAATCCAGCACGTGGATGGCGTGAAGATTCTGATCTCACAGAACTTCTACTTCTACAGTCAAACTCAGCAGCCGCTGCAGTCCGGCGCATACAGCTTCCGTCCATCGAATAACAGGCCAACACCTGTAAGAACTTTGCTTCACGTTTTGCTCTAGGCATCAAAGGAATGCTTTTTATGAAATATGAGTGCTAGCGAGCACACATTCCATTTGATGGTAAATAGATGATATGACCCATACATATCTTCATCTGTCCCAAAATGTAGTTAAGAAGGATCTCCGGTTCTCTTCATTTACTTTACGAAATACAGCAGAATTTAACTGTTATTTCACGCTGGCATTCTGTGAGAGGTTGTTCTTCCCTGGTCGACGTCATCAAACGTCAGAGTAATTTAGCTTCCTGACTAAAAACACAAACAATACTAAATCTAGAAATTTTTGTTATGTTAATACCATTATCATCATTACAGCCCTTCACTGCTGAACATAAGAAGGAATCTCCCAGGAAATGTCACAAAGCACGGTCCTAGCCACCTGTTAGCCACCTGTTATGTATGTTAATAGTTAAATAACCTAGTGGTGGCTCGCCCTACACTTCACATACTGGTACGAAGCTGCCACACGAGAACCTTTTTTAAGCCCCCCACTAGATGTAGTGACGACCTGGTAAGAGATGCAATAGAGACGCAGTCGATAGATGCAGTTGCCTCCGGAGCGTGTTTGTGGCATTCCTTGGTGAAGTATTCGGCAGTGAACTTGTATATACTGTAATAATAATAGTAATGATAAGCGAACAAATATCTGGACCTGACTCACTAGGTGACCGAGATGTGACGTGGTCTGCCGATCGAAATTATACCCGTAATCTTTTTTCTTTCTTTTTTTTTTTAAAAAACGTTACCCCCATACTAGGGTTTTCTCCTGTATCGTGGAGGCAGCTTACAAACATAATTTGTATTCCAGTCATCTGAGGCAACTGAGACTCAGTGACCGATCGCTCCGGGCTCAAACGCAGAAGGCGGTGCTCTTCGATACTGCCAGCATCGTCCGTCGGTTTCTTTCCCTTTCCCCCTAACCCTCGGCCGTTTGGTCTCTCCTACCGAAGGCTTCCATCTAGTTGTACTTTTATTTATTTATGTTAGTATTACATAAACATAAACACTCAACTCTTGGCACCCGGAGGGGTAGGTAGAGTCTACAGACTTCCATTTAGCACGATCCTGACATACCTCTCTCGCCTCCTCCACATCTATATACCTACGTATACACGCTCATCTGTTAAGGTTACTCTTAATTTGACCTTTTTTCAATATATCGCCAATTTGGTCGATAAAGTTTCGCCTGAGACGTATCTTCCGTTCACTTCAGCAACGTAAATTTGGTTTGTCACTCTTTCCTCATTCATTCTTAGTTTTCTTTCTCATATATGTTAGTATATTTAATATATATTTATGTATATTATAATCCTTTTATATATTTATTAATCTCAACCAGATGAGAATACTCTATAAATACCCCATTATAATAATATACAATATCATTCATAAATATTTTTTGTAGATTACAGATAAAGTTTTATACCACGCGGTCAGAGGGAGTCTGGTCAAGGAGATCAGACAGAGATTCAGCGACTGGGCGACGCAAGTGATACGTCTGTACAGAGGCGAGGAGTTCATTGAGCTGGAATGGATCATAGGGCCCGTGCCTGTCGGGTACGTATGAATATTTAATCATCACCAGAGATCGGAATTGGGTGTGTGAAAATACCTAAAGTTTGCAGCGGGAAATAACATGGAGCTGTACAACCACTTACGTTGAACCGGTTTTGAATTTTACTGGTTCCGTCTCGGTTTTTTTGTTTTACATGTTTCTTGCCTTTGAAACAACGAACTATAAACATGTGCAAGCTGCTAATACAGTTTTAAATTAACTTTTGTTTTGAACTTTTCCGGTCCAAATTCGGTTTTTTAATTGGACTTGTTCTGTATCTCTAAAACACCGAATTTCACACAACTGCAAGCTGTAATACAGTTTTCGATATTTTAGTTGTTGTTTTGTGTAGTTTTCGAGTACTAACCGAGTAGGGCTTTATTTTTTAACTGACTTCAAAAAAAGGATGAGGTTCTCATTTCGACAGCATGTTTTTATGTATGTGTGTTACTCGATTACTATGTCAATTAATGATAAACTTTATTGATTATTTTTTTTGTTAGGTAGGTCAAGTTTCAGAGTAGTCCCATATACATTTTAACTGATAAACAGATGCAGTCTTGCAGCGCAACTTCTTGAGTTAACACGTGTTATATTCTCGATATTTTGGTCGGTCGCAGTTTTGAATTCAGCTTACTTTTGGTGTTGCGCCTATTTTTAACCTGATTTTGTGGATTTGCTGTGTGCAGATGTGATTTCGGATAACCAGTATTTTCTTACCACGCACAAGTGTATCAATAATACTGGTAAAATATTTAAAACTGTATTACAGCTTTCAGATGTGTAAAATTCGGTGATTCAGAGATACAGAACAAGTAGAAATAAAAAACCGAATTTGAATCGGAAAAGTTCAGAACAAAAATTAAATTAAAACTGTATTAGCAACTTGCAAATGTTTATATTTCAGTGTTTTAAAGGTAAGGAACATGTAAAACAAAAAAAAACGAAACTGAACTGGTAAAATTCAAAACCGGTTTAATTTAGGTGGTTGTAACAGCTCCATGTTATGTCCCGCTGCAAACTTTAAATATTTTCACACACCCAATTCCGATGTCTGATCATTATTCTTTTCTTACAGCCTATAAAAAGTAAACTTCTAAACATAAATATCTCCTATAGATGCCCTGAACGCTATGATATTTGATATAAGTGCTATTGAATGTTGGTTTTGAGGAAGAGAGAGATATATGTATTGAGGAAGAGGGCGCTGCTCAGTTTGTAAACAATAGTTCTACGTATTTCTCGTCAAAAAATTATTAATAACGATTAGTGAAATGTAAAAAGTAGTTTAAAACAAAGATTTAGTAGTAGTAAACAAGTACAAGTGTTATCCAGTGCTAAATCTATCGAATAATATAAAAAACAGTTAAAAACAGCTGTGTAAAATTATTCGTGTGAACTAAATAAATACTATGTAAAACATAGGTGACAGTGATAAAAAAGTGATAAAAAGGTATAAGTGAGCTTAATTACACACACACACAAACAAATAGTGTATGGGTTAAAACAACTTAGTGACCATAAAACTTTATTTCTATATATTAAAACCAGTAGATTTCAAATTTATATATTATATACCCGCCGTCTACACACATAAAAAGATTGTACGAAAAACGCCATCTAGTGGAAATTAGTGGTTGCAAATTATAATATAAATAGTGATATCTAGTTTGGAACACAAGAACTAATAACAACGTACCATATCTGCTGTCTATACAACTTTTATCCACCAAAAGAGGGTGCTGTCAATTATATTAAAAATGAACAGTGAGAAAAATAAATGTGCAGGTTGTATGCAAGAAATACCTGGAAGACAACATCTTTTTTTGTGCACTATGTAAAAATTATTATGACTTAAACTGCGCAAATGTTACGGAAAAATATTTTTACAACATTATGCCAGCTGAAAGGAAACAAAATTGGAAATGTCAGGCTTGTCGTTGCAAAATACCAAAAATTACGAATCCAAATACCCCTATAAAGACCTTACTTCAAAATAACGAATTAGCAGATCCAAACGTAACATTCAGGAAAAAAACTATAAATGAACATATTAACATAAGTGCTAGCGATATTAGCATAGATGACATAGCGGAAAATACTCTTTTGAGTCAAACCATTGAGAAAAATGCAAGTACCACAGCAACAACACTCACAGAAGACGTGGGAATTAGCACATCGCTAACGCTAGAACAAATTGGTAGTTTATTGGATACAAAACTGGAGCGAATGAAAACTTGTATACTTTCAGATGTAAGGAACATAATTCAAGATGAAATTAACAATTCTCTAAAAGATTTTAAAAATAAAATAGAAAACGATCTAAACAGTAAATTAATAGATTCTCAAAAGCAACTTCAAGAAGAAATAAAAAAATCTCAACAAAAAAATCATGAATATTGAAGAAGAACTCTACAATTTGAAAAACTCAAAGAAAATAGTACTATATGGCCTCATGGAAGGGTACTCTGAGACCGAAAACGAGCTAGTAGGTCGTGTTTCAAGGTTGTTCCATGATATATTAAACATCAATATATGCCCTTACATAGAAGAAATCAAACGCCTTGGGAGACGTGGAAACCGTCGGCGACCTATTGCGATAGAATTAATAAGTAAAAGGATGTCCGATTTTGTAATTAACAATACGATCAAGTTTAAAAATACTGGATTATCCATAGGAAAATTCGTCAGTGGAAAAACGCTAGAAGAAAGGAAGGAACTCATCAGAAATATGAAAACAGCGAGGACAAATGGACAAAACGCGTATATAAAAATAATAAACTCTATGTTGATGGGAAACTATACACAAATACTTGTAAATCTACAACTACGAACCGGACGGAAGGCGTAAGCATATCCACAAAGGACGTCGATATTCCTGATTCTACCCCACTAACTTCTATGCAATACCAAGAACAATCTTCGCCAGATACCATGCCACATAACTCTACTACGTGTCAGCAGAACGGGACATTTCAAAAACAATTTCAATAAGTTATCTTTAAGTTTTCAAAATATTCAAAGTATTGGTAATAAAATTGATATACTTGAACAAATAATGTTAGAAACAGATGTTGATATACTGGCATTATCTGAATTGTGGAAAGATGAATACTATCTAAATTCCTTAACCATCCCAGGCTATACAATTGCATCTTACTTTTGCCGGAAATATAAACAAGGAGGTGGAGTTTGCTTAATATTAAAAAACAATTTAGAGTTTATAGAAAGAATTGATATTGTAAATTATTCCAAAGAATTTATTGTTGAACTATGTGCAATAGAAATTCCCAAACTGAAATGCATTATCATAGGAATATATAGACCTGATAGACACTTAGAATTATTTTTTAAGCAATTAGATACACTTCTAAATAAACTTAACACAAAAGAAAAAAATAAATATATTATAATCGCGGGAGACTTTAACATAAACATTTTAAATAAAAACAAAATTACACGTAACTTTTTGAATTTCATGGCTTCATACAACCTTAAACAATTAATAGATAAACCAACGAGAATTGCTAAAGAGTCCTCCACTTGCATTGACTTACTATTTACTAATTATTCATCCCTTGTAAAGAAATCTCAAGTAATTGACTATGGGATCTCAGATCATAAAGCAATAAACATAGAAATTGATACAAGTAATTTATTAATAAAACAAAATATTACGTACTTTGAACAAAAAAAGACTATTTACCAATGTTAATATAAATAAATTTAAGGAATCACTAAATAAAATAAAATGGGAGAATATAATAAACAGTAATAAAGGATTAAATGAAAACTACTCGCATTTCTTAGCCAGTTTAACAAAAATACTGAATAATCATATACCACTACAAAAAATTAAAATTAAAAACTACAGTACTAAAAAAAATTGGCTTTCGATGGGATTAAAAAAATCGTGCAGACATAAAAGAATATTAAAAATAATGCAAAATGAAACTAAAAACGAAGTTATACGAACACATTACAATATTTACAGTAAAATATTAAAAAAATGTATAAAAATATCCAAAAGAATAGATTACATTAAACAAATGGAAAAATCTGACAATAAAACTAAAACGATGTGGAAAATTATTAATAATAAAACCGGTAAAAATAAAACGAAATTACTTCAAAATATAATTTTAAAAGAAAATAATACATTAATTTCTTCCCCCCACATCATAACAAATATGTTCAACGAGTACTTTGCCACTGTAGGCCAATGTTCTAACTCCAATAATATGGTAAATAGACATCCCGTTATAAATCCACCAACAAACTCTTTCTTTTTAACCCCTGTTGATCCAAGAGAAATAATGAATATAATTAAAAATATTAAAAATAAACATAGCTGTGGCATTGATGATATACCACCAATCCTGGTAAAGAAATGTGCAGAAATATTAGCTATCCCTTTAGCTTCACTTATAAACCAAAGTTTTGAAAATTCTCAGTTTCCGGATGCACTAAAAATTTCACTAATAAAACCAATATTTAAAAAAAGACGACCCCCTAACGCTCAGTAACTATCGACCCATAGCCCTGCTTCCCACGTTTGCTAAAATATTTGAGAAAGCCATGTGTAACCGACTCTATCATTATTTAGAAAAATACAATATATTAGACGAATCACAGAACGGTTTTAGTAAAAGTAGATCAACAACTCTGGCAGTATACCAATATATCCAAACGGCAGCGCAAAATATTGATAAAAAAAGAGCCGCCATAGGCCTCCTTTTGGATATGACGAAAGCATACGATAAAGTTCAATTCAATATACTTTTAAATAAATTAAAGGGTTCGGGAATTCGTGGCACGGCCTATAAATGGTTCCAATCATATCTGACAAACAGGAAGCAGATAGTTCAAATCGAACACCGCAACGATGAAAAACGGGAAATCGTTGTAGTACAGTCTCAAATCCGGGACCTCACATGTTCAATCCCTCAAGGTAGTGTCTTAGGATGCCTATTGTTTTTAATATATATAAACGATTTACCCAAGATAATAAATAACGAAAACACATTAAGCGTACTCTTTGCCGATGATGTGTCAGTGTTAGTGAACTGCGATAAAAACACAAATTATAACTATATTGTCTACAACACTCTACAAACTATAACAAATTGGCTTGAAGATCACAACTTAGAAATTAACTTTAAAAAGACCAAAATTATGCAATTTAAAACATATAAAAGCAGCCCATTAACTTTAAACATAAACTTTAATAATATACAACTAGAAGAAGTTGATACTTTTAATCTTTTAGGTTTGAAAGTAGATTCAAACATCAGTTGGAAAACGCACATTAATTATATAAAGTCTAAAATTTCAAAATTTACGTACGCTTTATTTCAAATTAAATACACCACTGACACAGCCACGGCATTGTCAGCTTACTATGCCTATGCTCATTCGTGGCTTAAGTACGGAGTTATGCTGTGGGGAAGTAGCGTCGATATGCAGCAGCTTTTTATTACCCAGAAAAAGTGCGTTAGAATACTAGCCCAGATAGATAACACTACTAGCTGTAGACCGTATTTCAAACAACTAAATATTCTTACCTTACCCTGTATGTACATTTATGATCTATGCCTGTTTGTCCACAAAAATAATAATAGTTTTACGAAAATTAAAGATACGCATAACTTAAATACACGTAACAAAAATAAATTATACCTACCACAGTCGCGAACAAAAATGTTAAATACAAGCCCCTACTATATGGCAATAAAAGTATATAATAAATTACCACAGGAAATAAAAAATATATCAGAATTAACCAAATTTAAATCAAGCCTCGGTAAATATTTAAAACAAAACCCCTTCTACTCAGTAGAAGAGTATTTAGATAAAAAATAACACTATTATATATTTTTATATCTTTTATAGTTTTTAATTTTATTTTATGTATGTTAATAGTACATAAGCAGTGCCCTTGTCAAATTTGCAGTGCCTGAAAAGGGCGTCTAAGTTGTAAGCACATTTTTAATTTAATACCAATTATGTACACTTAGATTGCAAATAAATGATTTGATTTGATTTGATTTGATTTGAATTGTTATCAAAAAGACGTTGGTGCCCATATTGCAATCAGTTTTCCCCTGGCGTCTCTTATGATATCCCTTGATGATATGGGAAAAGAGTTTGTCATTTGGGGTTAAAATTTTTCAAGGTTGTTAATCATCTATAATAACTTCCAGAAATGATCTTGGTAAAGAAGTGGTAAGCATTCTGAAGACCAACATCAGTAATGGCGGCGAGTTCTACACGGACGCGAATGCGCGCCAAATGATGAAACGCACCTGCTGGAATGAGACTTCTAGTGAGTTATTTTATAATATAGTAGAATATAATCTTTCCTTTTTTATTACATGTAATATCCTTCAGACCGTATTTCGTTCACGGCGGCCAGTCTGAACGAAGACTATTCACCTGCGCAGGACAGGATTACAGCACAGGTACTCGCATAGTCCGATGGGACGGTAATCTGACACGAACAGAGAGAGATCAGGCGAAGGACCAACGACTTTAAATGCTTTTCGAGTCACGAGAACTTTTTGACTCCTATCTTATACAGAAATTAGAATAAGCTTGACGTCAAAAACAATAAATTAGACTTTTATATCTATTAAATGAAGAATTATTTCGTGACAGAATAACTCAATAACTGATATTGGCCCGACTTGGGCTGCAAACCCGGGACCTTACGATCAGCAATCGATAACCAGACCAACCAGGTAGTCACTTTGCGTGTTATCCTTATCCGCGACTTATCGACGCTACTGGTGACAAAAGGGCCGGTTCTTTTCTCGCTCAAAGGCTAATATAGCCATTCAGCGAGGAAACGCAGCCAACGTTCTTGGCACTGTAACACGGAGAGTAGGACTATGATAATTACATTAGTATTTTATAGAATAAGGGTGACAAACGAGCACACAATCCACCCGATGGTAAGTGGATGCTGTGGCACATAGACATCTATATTTTTATCCTCAATTGAGAACCAAAATGCATATGCGTTGCCACCCGTGAGGACTAAGAGGGAATGCCATCTTCCAGTAAAAAGGGTCTCCGGTTCTCTACACCCACCTTACGAAACATAGCAGCATTAACTACTATTAATATTTATTAGTCATAACAAATAGATATCTAGAAAGAAACAGTAGCCCAATACATCGGAAAGATACCCAATGTTACGAACAAGCAAAGTGCAAACAGCTCTATAGGAATTTATCTATCGCTCTCACTGATTGGATTGAGTTTAGCGAAGCGAGCCACGCTGAACAGCGCAATGCAATGCGCAGAGTGTCGTGCGCGCGATCTTGACATACTGATACTAAAACTGATGCATAAGGATATAGAGATACAATAGAGTGATACATATCCCAGTGGTCGAAAGATACATTTCAATCTTTTCTATTTAGTGACACATGTTGCCCATGTCTAACTAGCTGGCCCAGACGGTATAGTCAGAAAAGGCGACATTATACATGGTAGTGCCACGCTACAGTTATATTAGTAGTATAGTTGTAGCACGAATGGGTCGGCTCGACCAGGGTAGGACCACGCTCTCACAGAATACCAGCGTCAAATAGTAGTTTATTGCTGCTGTGTTTCGTATGGTGAGTGTAGAGAACCGGAGACCCTTTTTACTGGAAACGAGGCATTCCATCTTAGTCCTCACGGGTGACAACGCATCTACATTTTGATTTGTAACCGAGGATAGATGTAGATGTCTATGGGCCGCAGCAATTACTTACCATCAGGTGAACCGTGTGCTCGTTTGTCACCCTATACTATAAAAAATACCACCTAGTACACGTTTTAAGTTGTTACTATAATTCTAATATAATTAAGTTACAATATCAATGAGTCTTCCTACTGGTTATAACTACAGGTCATCAGCAGAAGAAGCCGGTGGCGGCGTGCTACTATCCCGTGACGTCACGCATCTGCACGCGCTCCGTCAACGCCAGCGTGGAGCTGTGCGTCCTGACCGACCGCACGCAAGGAGGCACCTCCTACAATGAGGGGGAAATTGAACTTATGGTAAACTTTGACCCGAGTTTTCGCAGTGGTTATTAACAAATTTAAATTATATTATTTTTATCGTCAATAGTCATAGTTCGCGGCTGATTATTTTTTTATCTTGTGCAGGTCTAGAAAGAGTATCACTGCAAATTGTAAGATCTATTGTGATTGCTGCTATGGCTATAGTCACTCCCGAGCCCTATGTCTTCAAAGAATTGAGGGAGTTGCTTAGCTGTGAACAATTTCGCTTCTTCTGGTCTTGGTATATAGTTTCCCAGATGAATGTTTCCACATTAAGGGCTCACAATCAGTTAGGATATGCAGAGATGTTTCTACCGATAAAATACAAAATCGGCACATTCTTAAGTTGTTTAGTCCCAGGATGTACATGTTCTTTTAAAACAACGGTGTCCAGTCAAGTCTCATGCCAGAATATGTAGTTAATTCTTACTTAATCCCAGGACTTCTGAAGCGCATTTGCGATTATAATATATGATTATAACCCGGATTAAGGTTTTAGAATGTTTTCAAACCCGGTGTATCAGACCAGATCCTAAGCGATTTATTGTAATAAAGAGTGTCAAGAGTCAATCGGGCCAGGCCAGGCTTTTTTAGATTATACAAAATGGCTCGTGTCCAAATTATAGATACCCTTTGGGACCTCCCGTGCTAGCTTGTCGGCTAGTTCGTTGCCTACAATAACCACATGATCCGGAACCCATCGACCCTGTTGTACAACCCAGGGCATTCAGACGGTTCATGCAATCTCCAACTAGCTTCGAGCTCACTAGGCTTGAACTCGGCGCTTGCAGTGCCGCTTGACTATCAGAGTTTCAGAGAACGGCTAGACATAAACATTTCCGAAAATACAATTAGGTAGCTCTAAATAAACTACTTCTTATAACTTGGAGTGGTCGCCTGATCGAGATCGCTTCTAAGCAATAAGTCCGCGTGTTGTTCCTTTCTAACTTTATGTACTTTCTTGTTTATGTTTTTTTTTTGTTTTGGGTGACAAACGAGCACACATTCCACCTGATGGTAAGTGGATGCTTTGGCCCATAGATTTATCTTCGATTACGATTCAAAATGCAGATGCGTTGTCACCCGTGAAGACAAAGATGGAATGCCTCATTTCCAGTAAAAAGGGTCTTATTTATTTATTTACTTATATATGCTACTCTTTGTAGAGAAGCTAAATTTTGATCGTTTTCCCATCCAACATCCAACTCTTAAAAATAAGTTCAACGGAAAAGAAAGGACGGAATACCTAGTTGTCAAGATTCACCCTAATTTCACCACACTAGGCTCTATCAGTTTCTTGGTTTGATAATGTTGTCTCCTGTCGCCAGACGAAATGATAAGGAACCTGCAAATTAAGATATATTTTCACCATTAGTCACTTACCTAACTCAGGAGATTGCACCACATGCAGGAGAGATTAGCACTTATATAAAAAAAAATGATGAAAAAATGTCAGTAGCTTAATAGTTAAGGGTACGAACTGCAAACTTCGTTGTTTTTTTAATAGTTACATCGGAGACTACTGACGGACGATGGCTTCGGCCTGGAAGAAACCCTCAATGAAGAGGCATTCGGCGTTGGATTGGTGGTGAAAGGAAAACACAGAATCATGTTTGGCAACTTTAGACAAGAGAGTAAGTTGCTGTCTTTTTACGTATTAGACCACGTTGAAGCACGAATGGGTAGCTTCACCGGGGAAGGCACTCGCCGTCACAAAATAGCAGCCTAAATTAGCAGCTTATTATTAATTCATAACCCTCAGGGGTGACAACGCATCTACATTTTGATTATTAATTGTGGTTAGATAGAGGTCTATAGACCTGAATGCTGTTGTCCATAACTAAGTGGACTGTATCCTCATGTAACTCTTAAAAAGACTTCTTTAAAAAAAGAGCTAAATTGTGTAAAGTATCTTTTATAGCAATAAGACAGAATAAAAATATTATAACCAGATTCTTATGATTGCTGATAAAGTAACCTAATATAATTAAATTGCTATGATCCTTAAGTGGGACTAACGCAATAATAATAGTCTATATATGTCCCACTGCTGGGCACAGATTTCTTCTTATTTCTGAGAGAGATTTAAGACAAGAAACTATCTGCCATGCTGCCCCAATGCATGTAAAGATATATCTAAAAAAATCTAAAACAACGTACCAAAACGGAGATAATTTTATTTTACAGAATAAGCGAATTACATATCATTGCGAATTGGACAGGAAAACGTTCACGATATTTAACACAAAAACGTTCGCGTGAGAGATACTTTCGTGTTGGGTACATAATTTCTTCGATGCTCAGAATAAAAGATAGGTAATTAAAGTTTCGTGAGAATTTACTTACGAAACTTTTATTATCTAGTATTTACTATATATAATTCTGATGCGAGCTTGGGGTGCGAGACAATTAAAAACTGCCGAGTAAATTACCAAAATTGACACTTTAATTACAGAACACTAATAACAACTTAAAACCACACTAATAATATAACAAAATTGTACTACTGATCACGTCACGAGCCGTGTAGTGGCGGTTAAGAATATACACTACCCCATATCTTCCCGTGGGTGTCGCGACAGAGGGAAACAGGCAGGAGCTGGGCAGCAGCATCTTCCTGATAACGGCAACTGTACAACAAAAAACTGCGGTTGCCAACCCGCTCGATAAGCGTGGCAACTATGGCAATATAGCCCCCATGAAGAATTACACAAATAGACGGCCCCCAGTCCCCGGCGACCCCGCTATTCCTGGCTACGGTGGCGACCATGGTAACGGCGGGGCAGGGGGTGCTAAGAATCTCCGGTGGAGGTTCGGTTGCCACCTACGACGACTCGACCTGGCAACATTTAACGCACGTACCCTGACGATTGACGAGAAGATCCACTGGAGCTGGAAGAAGAGATAGACAAGTTGCGCTGGAATATTATCGGATTATCCGAGGTCCGAAGAGAGGGGGAGGACACGGTGATTCTCGAATCCACTGGGAGGGCGACCATCTGTCCCAAGGAGGTGTTGGATTTATCTTCCACAAGTCTCTCGTTAACAACGTTTTAAAGATTGGGAGTGTATGGACGAGGGTTGCGTACCTTATACTTAGAATCACCAAACGGTATTCGCTGAAGGTCATACCGATGAGGAGGTGGAGGAAATGTATGAGGATATTTCCAGAGCCATGCATTCCTCCAAAACCCACTACACGGTGTTGATAGGAGACTTCAACGCAAAACTGGGAACAAGAAAGAACGGTGAGCTGAAGGTAGGGAAATTTGGGATAGGGCAACGAAACCCAAGGGGCCAACAGCTGACCGACTTCATGGAGAAAGAGGGACTTTTTATCATGAACTCTTTCTTCCAGAAGCGGCCCCACAGAAAGTGGACCTGCTCGAGCCCCGACGGTTCGACAAAAAACGAGATTGACTTCATTATGACGACCAGACGCCAACTGTTCAGTGATGTCTCAGTAATCGCAAGGGTGAAAACTGGTAGCGATCACCGAATGGTTAGAGGCACACTGAACCTAAACGTTAAGTTGGAGAGGTCTCGTCTAATGAAGTCAACGCTCCGTCCCCCTCGTGCTCCAATCCAGAATCCCGAAACCTTTCAGCTCGAGTTACGTAACCGCTTTCAGTGCCTAGAAGATTTCAATGCAGTGGACGATATGAATGACAAGCTCGTGGAAACTGTCCATGCGGTCGGAGCTAAGTTTTGCAAGACCCGCCGCAGAAGAACACAAAAACTCTCCGATCACACTCTTAAACTCATGGCTGTTAGACGGGAGATGAGGCTGCAATCGTCAACAGATTTGACAGCATACAGGCAACTGAACAGACAGATCTCCAAATGTATGTGGCGAGACTTATGCAACTTTAATACTGCTCGTATTAAAGAAGCGATCGAGTGGAACCAGGGCTCCAAAGTCTTTGCCAGAGATCTGTCTGCCAGAAAGAGCCAACTTTCAAAGCTGAAGACTGAGTGTGGCAGCATCGTTTCCGGGACACCTGAGATTTTGAGTGAAATTGAGAGGTTCTATGAGCAGCTGTACACATCATCGTTGGAGCCACACGCAAGTTTGAGTAACGATCCAAGAGCAAGTCTTATCCGACAGTATTCCGATGATATCCCGGACGTCAGTCTGAGCGAGATTAGAATGGCTCTCCAGCACCTTAAAAACGGCAGGGCCCCAGGCGAGGATGGAATTACAGCGGAGCTTCTGAAAGCGGGTGGAACACCGGTACTTGAAGTCCTTCAGAAGCTTTTTAATTCCGTCCTCCATGGTGGCACTACTCCGAAGGTGTGGAGCAGAAGTGCGGTGGTCTTGTTCTTCAAGAAAGGTGACAACGCCCTCTTGAAGAACTACAGACCGATATCCCTTCTGAGCCGCGTCTACGTGCTGTTTTCGAGAGTCATTACGAATCGTCTCGCACGCAGACTCGATGACTTCCCTGCCTCCCGAACAAGCCGGTTTCCTAAAAGGCTTCATTACCATAGACCACATACATACCCTGCGGCAGATTGTACAGAAGACCGAAGAGTACAATCTGCCACTTTTCTTGGCGTATGTGGACTATGAGAAAGCATTTGATTCCGTCGAAATTTGGGCGGTGCTGCAGTCCCTTCAGCGGTGCCAAGTTGACTATCGGTATATCGAAGTGCTGAAGTGTTTGTACAGTAGGGCTACGATGGCTATCCGAGTACCAAGGTTCGAAACCTATCCAACTGCAGAGAGGTGTAAGACAGGGTGACGTTATATACCCGAAACTCTTCACCGCTGCATTGGAAGACGTTTTCAAGCTACTGGACTGGAAAGGATACGGTATTAACATCAATGGCGAGTACATCACTCACCTTCGATTTGCCGACGATTCAGTCCTTATGGCAGAATCGCTGGAGGACCTAAGAACTATGCTCAATGACCTCAATGGTGTCTCCCAACGGATAGGTCTTAAGATGAACTTGGACAAAACAAAGATCATGTGTAATGTCCAAGTCATACCTATGCCGGTAGTTGTTGGGAGCACTATGCTCGAAGTTGTTGACGAATACGTTTACTTGGGACAAATGGTCCGACTAGGTAAGTCCTACTTCGACCGAGAGGTCAATCGACGGATTCAACTCGGCTGGGCAGCGTTCGGGAACGACACATCTTCTCGTTAGGTATACCTAAATCTCTGAAAACTAAAGTGTACAACCAGTGCGTGTTGCCAGTGATGACTTACGGATCTGAGACGTGATCCTTCACTGCTGGCCGTATAAGGACGCTCAAGGTCGCTCAGCGAGCTATGGAGAGGGCTATGCTCGGAGTTTCTCTGCGTGATAGACTCAGAAATGAGGATATCCGCAGTAAAACCAGAGTGACCGACATAGCCCAACGGATTAGTAAGCTGAAGTGACAATGGGCCGGCCATATAGCTCGAAGAACCGATTACCGATGGGGAAGAAAGGTTCTCGAGTGACAGCCTCGTACCGGTAGGCGTAGTGTAGGGCGACTCCCCACTAGATTGAGTGACGACCTGGTAAGATATGCAGGAAGTCGATGGATGCAGGTGGCTCAGGACCGTGCTTTGTGGCATTACTTGGGGGAGGCCAATGTTCAGCAGTGGACTTGTGAAGGGCTGTAATGATGATGATCACGTCAGTTCGCAGTTATATCACTTCGAATTATTCGCTTGTATCGCCAATTCAATAGTGACCCGGGTCGCGGTCTAAACCGGCCTTATATAGGGCCTCAGATAGTTTCAGAACCTTCTACTGTATAAACACCTAGAATGTTCGAGTACATACCGGTCCCAATTGACTAGGTGTCGATAGTTCTAGAAAGTTCTTCCATGGAAATTTCTGGAAGGATTTTGACTCTCCTAGTTCTGCTACTCAATACTAGATGGCGCTGAGTGGTAACTAGTGTCGCCATGTACCGGGCATTAATTGTGGCGCGTAACAATACAAGTAAATAGGTCGTGTATTTTAATGACGATATTTCAATAATTATCAAAATATTTATAACTAGTTTTAATTTTTTTTAACTTATATCCCACCTGGTCGTTAGTCTTGATTAAGCCCTAGATGGTCAATCGCACTGTCTTAGCGTAACAAAAGCCTATTCACTCTTGCCTTGAAGACACCCAGATTATATTCAGAAGGAAAATTGTTCCACTCTTTTTAAATTATTCACTTACTGCATGCATTACGAAATACGAAGCAAGTCGTTGGATTCGAATGCATGAAATATCGACAACAAAGGAGGAAAGACCTATGGTTCCTATGGTGGAAGGGAAAGGGAGGAATAAAGCACATTTGTGCTGTATTTTGAATCCAGGACCTGCATTTCCGCATGTCCTAGGTAGACAACATCAATTATTTTTATTGAAACAAATGTTTTCCTTCCAGTGGATGAACAGACGTTTTCGGAGAGAGTTTCATACACCGCCAGGAAGTGGCTAATGGAGCCCTGGCTTTTCCTAGCGCCAGGTGAAAAGATCAACAGGAGAAAGTGGCAAAACGTCAGGAATAAACGGGTGAGTTCGATACAGATCTCAGCTGAATAATTTTATTGCAAAAAGATATTAATTCACTTATTATCTGATATTATATATTATTTCTAGAAAGTTACACGTAATGTACAGTATTATATTTTAATTACCAGAATCACTAATAGCTCTTAGCAGCCCCTTTCTGTCCAGGACTTCTAGTCTAGGTTCTGGTCTAGGTAGGTAGCACACTCTTACCTCTTTCGGCTGCCAAATAGCAATGCCGCACAACTGTGATCTGGTCTGAATGGTATAGATTTTTTAAATAGAATAAGGCTGACGAACAAACACACAGCACCACTTGATGATAAGTGGATGCCGTGGCTCATAGACATCTACATTTATCCTCGATTAAGTATCAAAACGCAGATGCATTGTCACCCCTGAGGACTGAGATGGAATGCCTCGTTTCCAGTAAAAAAGGGGCTCACCATACGAAACACAGCAGTATTGATCTGCTATTTTACGCTGGTGTTCTGTGAGAGCATGGTCCTTCCCCGGTCGAGCCGACCAATTCTTGCTACAACCATAATACAGCAGCAGCGTGGCTCTACCACGTATAGATATAGACAGCCAATATAATTACAGGCTGTGTGTTATTCTAACTTAGTCTTCAGGGGTGAAAACGCATCTATAGTCTTCTGTGTATGTAGTTGGGTGCAGGTGACCAATGACTACAGTAGCCACTTACCACCAGGTGGACTGTAAGTTCGAGCGTCAAAACGCTACTATTTTTAAACTTTTAAGTCAAATAATCAACTTTAACTAACTTAGTTACTAACGTATAACTTGTTCCAGTATTCGGCTATCCGGCTGCATGGGTTGCCTCGTCACATTCAAATTATAACCCTGGAGCCGTGGAAAGCTGGCTCGGTATTGCTGAGACTTGAAAATACCCTCGAAAAGTCAGATAAAGGTAAATGATAGCTTTTTTAAAACTTTGCACGTTCACTCGCGGAACTGGAGCTCTGGTAAAAGTTTTTATCAATAAATCTTTCCTTGAAACATAATGAAAAATTTAAGTGGGGTAAAATAATGTCACATATAAAACGGTATAGGTAATATACCGTTATACTTTCATAAATCCAATTCGAATTTAAAGTTACCAAGTCACCTTTTGTAAAAAAATTGGTTGAACCTGCAGGCCATTCTTGGAACTTACCGCTAATTTCAAATGCAAAGCGCTCTAAATTTTACCAAATTATGACGTTGAATAGGAAATATCGGAGTAATTAAAAAAATCAGTTATTTCAAAATTTTTCGTTAACGATATCTCACGAACATACACACACACACACACACACATACACACACACAAACACATATACACACACATACACACATATACACACAGACACACACACCGCATACACACACATACACATACATACACACACATACATACATACACATACACAACACATACACACACATACACACACACATACACACACACACATACACACACATACCCACACATACACACACAAATACACACACGTACAAACACATACATACACACATACATACATACATACATACATACATACATACATACATACATACATACATACATACATACATACATACATACACATACATACATACACACATACATACATACATACATACATACATACATACACACATACATACATACATACATACATACATTCACACATACACACACACACATACACATACACACACATACACAAACACACACACACACACACACACCTATAAACACACACACGCACACACACACGCACGCAAACACACACACACACACATACACACACATACACACACCTATAAACACATACACGCACATATACACACACACACACACACACACACACATACACACACAGATACATACAGACACATACACACACATACACACACATACAGACATAAAGACACCATCAAAACATAGTCAGGATGGCTTCCTGTGTAAAACAATAGCTTCCCGATTTTTCAAAAGTTTCAGTTTTCCTAGTGTTCCCACTAGTGAATATATTATATAAAAATCTATTGTCAGCAGAATTATTCAAAACGGAAAAAGATGCTACCGAAGATTACGGGCCGAGGAGCACGCATATAGTAGTCGACCTGCGTAAAATATTTGGACAGCACGAGATCAAGATGGTGAAAGAGACGACGCTGGCTGCCAACCAGTGGCTAGAAGATGCTAGGCAGATGGACTGGAGCACGAGGTTAGGCACTAGAAGTTATTTTTTTTACAAATATTTTAGTGAATATTTACTCTATTATCCGACTGCGATGAATAACTTATGTCGGTTTCTACGGATATCATCATCATCACAACAGCCTAACAAACGTCTGCTGCCTAACATAGGCCTTCCCCATATTTGCCTGCCATGGGGATTTTAGCCATAGTTGCCAGGTTTCCTATGTGGATTAGCAACCGCAGTTTTTAATGAAGATGATGATAATGATTCAGAGCTTAGAGGTTAATGTAATTGTATTACATCTAGATTTCTAGATGTAATACAATAACACTATTTAGTGTTTAAAATAGTAAACACTTATCGAGAAGATAATGAATAACATATCAAAATCAGTCTTTGATTTAAAAAGGCACCATTTCTTTGAACTTCTAAGAATTGAACTATTCTATTACGATAGTTGATAAAACGTGAAAATATTACATAGTTACTTAAATTTAAGTACATATATCAGTTAAGTGTATGAAAAGAAGGTGCATACATGAACTATTTACTCGTAGGTACTAAACATTAAAATTATAATTAAGTAAGAAAAAAAAACCCCCACAAAAAAAGAGGCCAAAAAAGCGCACACGCCCCAAACATTTCTCACTATTTAATTTATATACTTAAGTTATTTTTTCTTGTAATATATTCCTTCAAGACTATTATTTTGTGTACTGAAATGGAATAACACTGCTGAAAATATTGTCAAAACATTCGTTTTTGTGTAAGATACATCAAATAATACTTTTCTCCGAGCACTAGGTCATAGGTTAATATAGGTCCCTCTCTAAGCGACGTCCAGAAAAATAAATGATGTTGCTAGGTGAAGGCTCATTGCTCTTGGCATATTTATAACTTAAATGCTTACAGCATTTTAGTTGACTCTATTTTGCTTATGTGGTTTTCATATTGAGTATTCCAAACTACAAAGGCATATTTTGGAATAGATCTTACTAATAAATTTTATAACAACACGGTGTAGAACCACGTTTAAATTTTCGTGAAGTTCCAGAACGAAGCATAGCTTACAATGCGAACGTTTAGTGATGTGAATAATATACAAGATAAATGTTAGTTTACTGTCTGTTTGTACACCCAGATCATTCACTTCTCAAATGCGATTAATATTGTTTGTATCAAAACACTGTCGAAAGACAACCTGATTTACAATTCTGTAATAAACGGATAACATTGAATTTTGTAAGATTAAGTATATTTAACTATCAATAAGACATTAAGAAAAAAGTCGATCTAAATTAGTCAATTTAATAATTTTAATATTTTCATATCATCTGCGTAAAGTAGTATTCCAGAGTGATGGAATATTGACTTAACATCAATAATACATAAAAAGAGAGGACTGAGATGGGATTCCTGAGGGACGCATGGAGTTACAGGGTTGAATGAGGACCAATAACCTTTAATTACAACAGCCTTACTTCACTCGTGTAGATAGGATTCTATCCATCGTGGAAGGTCACCGCGTAACCAATTGCTTTGAGTTTATTAATTAGGATGCAATGACAAATTTTGTCAAATACAAGTTGATGATCCCCTAATTATAATGAATATTATTAATACCTCCCGCGGGTTCAAGGTCATACAAGATATAAAATAAATATGTATGTCTATGCATAATATAAATTCAAACTTACCCTTTACGTTATTTTGATAATCGTTCTTTATTTACTATACTTTTTTATATAGGAAGTGACAAACGAGCATGCGGCACACCAGATGATAAATGACTACCACCGCCCATGAACAGCTTGAACACCAGAGGAATTGCGGATGCGTCGTTGGCCTTTTAAAACAGTAGGTTCTTTTCTTGACGGCCCCTAAGTCGTGTTGTTCAGAAAAATCGCTGGTGGTAGTCCAATCCACAAGAAAGTTGTGCGAGGAAGAAATTTTTTTGTAAATCACAAAGTGGTGGATCGCAAATCATCCAGATGGTATGTATGGTATTGTAAGTTTTGTCACGATGTGCGATGGTGAAATTGAGCGGCTGGAATTATACCCAACAATTTCTCAGAGCACTCCCAGTGATATATGTGATAGAATACGCAAAGATATACAACGTCTCTTCGCAGCGCCAGTGAGTCAAGTCGATCAGAAAGAGCTGGGTCGCCAACGATTAGACAGTCGCCGCTTTGCGCTGGTTGCGATCTAGTGGAAGGAGCTGGTACTTATGTGCCCCGGCCCAGAGATGGGAACAGTATTTCACGTGAGGCTGAACTTGCGCCTTGTTGTAAGCGATATGCCGGCATTAAATACTGTTCCGCTCTACAATTAAACTTTTTGGAAGTCGATTTGGTCATCCCTTCCAAGTGACAGCGAAACTGAACGTCATTCAACCATGTCTACGCCGAGGACTCCGATGGTAGCTGAGGCAGCGACTGAGTCAACGAGGAGTGTCTTGAAATAGAGGAGAAGGAATCTTTTAATTACTAAACTTGTGTCTTCTGGGGATTAAACTAGACCAGACTAAGCTTCGAAAAAGACTTTGTGCCTGTCCAAACTAACCGCTAAAGCCTCCCTCTTGAACTTGACCGCATGCGCCCATCCGTGTGTTAGGTAAGAAGAAGTCCACCAGGTGAGCGACTCTGACGGAAACCGTACTGGCAGTCACTAATCAACTGGTGCTCCTCAAGGTACCGCGCGGGCTGGCATTTAATAATGGACTCCATTTTTTGTGAGAACAACGAGGTGATGGCGATGGGCCTATAATTGAACGGAACCCAGGCGTTACCTATTTTAGGGATCGAGTGCATGAAAGCTATGGGTGCAAGAAAGGAGTAGTAGTACCGGAAAAACGTGTTAGAACCGGTGCGAACTCTGGAGCACATGTCCTCAGCCAATTGGGGGGAGAGTTCCGTCAGGTCCACTCGACTTGTAGATGTTTTGGGAGGAGTGCTTTGCGTACAGAGTACTGTGTGAATTGCACATCAGTCCACCTGATGGTAAATGGATGCTCCAACCCAAAACATCTACGTTTATTCTCGATTAGGAATCAAACCTTCGACATATAGAAAGACGGAGGATAGATTACGTCGTTACCCGTGAGGACTAAGATGAAATGCCTCTTTTTCAGTACAAGGGGTTACCGGATGTCTACACTTACCATAGAAACACAGCAGTATTAAGCTGCTACTTTACGCTGGTATTCTATAAATATAGTCAACTCAAAAGTGTAAAAAATACTTTTAATGAAAAGTAAAAGCCGGCTTCTTATAACTAAAAAGAATTAAAGAATTTCACATTTTGAAAACTTTGCATAGATATAGCGTAAGAATTATTTTTAGTTCTTAAAAGACTTCTTATACTTTAATACTTATGTTTACGCGAACACTCCACATTTTAATAAAATCAGATTTTACGAATTTTATTGCGTATATTAACTTATTTTATATTCCCGATGTTTCTAGCACTTTACAGCACCTATGGTTGCGGGGAGGACTGAGGTGTTCGACGTCCCAATGCCATAGTTAACCACGGCCAAGATTAAACCAGATTAAAATTATTAATTTTTATTCCAGTTAAAGTTTATACTGATCAAAACGAAAATTCGTTAAAACCAGTTTTATTCTTTTACTTTTATTTAAAGTAAATTTTTACTTGGAAAAATCTACAAGGATACTTGGTTGGCGTATTGTATGCAAATGGAATATGTCGAACTCAAATCGACTAAACCAGGTGGCGAACAAGAATTAAACCTTGAAATAATACTAGTTTTTACGGAATTTATCGCGTATATTTAACTTTTTAAATACCCGACGTTTCGAACGCTTTACAGCACTCATGGTCACGGGCAGGACTGAGATGTTCAACGTCCATATGTCATAGTTAACCGCGGTTACCATAGATTAAAATTTAACTTTTGTTCCGATCTATGCAGTATGAACTTATGGTATCTTGAAGTCTTGCAGTTGTATGCTTGGGTTGGGATTTAATTTTATTTATTATAGGATCCCAAGCAGATGGTAGCACCCAGCCATCTTCTCTATTGAAATTAGGATGTTTTTTGATTTCAATAGCCTCGCGAATCATCCTTGGAAGGAATCGGTGTTCTTTAGCGAGGATCTGCGGTCTATCAAATCTGATGTAGTGACGGGGGCGATCCTGTACGTGTTCACAGACTGCAGCTTCCCGGAGCGTCGATTCTTCACATCAGCTATATGTTCTTTAACGCGGGTTTTTATTGATCTTCTAGTTTGTCCTATGTAGGAGAGACCACATTCACAATAAAGCTTGTACAATCCCGCATCTTGCAGAGGGACATTACACTTGACCGATGGTAAAAACTGACCAATCTTCTTCAGCGGCTTGAAGTATGTTTTGATGGAAGCGCGCTTCAAGATGTAGCCAATCTTGTCAGTAACTCCTCTAACATATGGCAGTACAGCAGGTACACGCTCGACTGTGGCCGGCTTCACTCGTTCACTGTGACGTAAGCGCGGGACTCGAAGCTTGTTGTCATGCTTCGAGTCCTGCATAGATCGGAACAAAAGTTAAATTTTAATCTATGGTAACCGCGATTAACTATGACATATGGACGTTGAACATCTCAGTCCTGCCCGTGACCATGAGTGCTGTAAAGCGTTCGAAACGTCGGGTATTTAAAAAGTTAAATATACGCGATAAATTCCGTAAAAACTAGTATTATTTCAATGTGTAGTGTTCGCGTAAATATAAGAAATCATTATAGAATTAAACCTGTGAGTGTATTAAATATTTTTTTTTAGATACGTATATTCTGGTGGCGACGATGGAATCCTACCAGAAGACAATGTTGACTATACAGATGATAAACTAGAACGATCGGAAAGAAAGGACTCAGGTAATACGTAGCTACAATACATTTATTATATATATGTTTTATTGCTACATCTGGTGAATGTTACTAAGGGATAATTCATTCATCTCCCGCATAGATAGCCGTATGTAGTTGAACATCATCATCATTATTACAGCCCTTCACAAGTCCACTGCTGAACATAGGCCTCCCTCAAAGTATGCCACAAAGCACGAGCCACCTGCATCCATCGACCTCCTATATATCTTACCAGGTCGTCACTCCATCTAGTGGGGGGTCGCCTTACACATCGGTTATCAGTTCTTCGAACTATATGGCCATCCCATTGCCACTTCAGCTTACGAATCCGTTGGGCTATGTCGGTCACTCTGGTTCTACAATAGAGTGAATATGGAGTATATATTTGCGATAGTTTGCCAGGCGGGTAGGCATCCGCAGCATTTTTATTGAAATAAAAACTTCTTTAGAAGCGTTGTAATTTGAAAATCGATGAAACGAATTATTTCGGTCTCAGTATAATACTGGATGACCTTTTTTACCGTCTGGAAAAAAGTTTTGTAAAATATCAGTGACATAGGCTTTTACTTCGTTCACATGTTACGCCCTATTTTTTTCAAGACGGTAAAAAGGGCCATCCAGTATAATATAGTGTAATTTATTTAGAATAAAATGTAAAACAATTTTTAAGCTTGGTAATAATATATAAATAAAATCTACAAATATCCTAATCCTGGTACTCTGCATTCGTCTCATTCTCTCGAATTTTCGTTTTTTGAAGGATTCGCTTCTACCGCGTGCGAACTCCACATTTTTTTTTTAATTTTAATCTCTTATCAAGAGGATAACACTGTTTATACAGAGAGACTATCGCCTGTTTCAGTTTCCCTCTGTTGCCTCTTACAACAGCCACGGGATGATATAATGGAGGAGTGGATTCTTTAACGCCACCATTACACGGCAACCAAAACTACTACCACTACCACCTAGTGATTAGTACCAACTATTGTGTACAATTTGTGAGCTAATAGTCACTTGATTACTATTTATAAATATATTTATTTATTCTCTATTGAATCTCACACAATGTACTTATAGGAACATAAGACGGTCTATCTGTTTATACACTACTAATTACTGCATACTACACTATTTATTTTGTATGTATATGTCACGGCTAAAAGCGTACACACCTGAGTTTAGCCGGCTACATTTATGTGCAGCCAAATGCGATTGTTTAAAGTAAGGTGCATTAGATTTGTCCGAATATTTAGCAAATAATTTAAATACCCGCGACTTTGGGGTGGCCCATAGGCCAACCGAGATACACCTAAACCATAAAGCAGTTATATTATGGTTGTAGCATGAATGGGCGGCTCGACCAGGGAAGGTTACCACGCTCTCACAGAGCACCAGCGTAAAATAGCAGCTAATTGCGTGTTTCGTATGATGAGTGTAGAGAATCGAAGATCCCTTTTTACTGTTAACCAAGCGTTATATCTTAGTCGTAGGGCTTAACTACGCTCCATTTTGATTCTAAATCTGTAGATATCCATAGGCAACATTATCCACATACTATAGACTGTGTGCTCGTTTGTCACTCATATTTTATAAAAAAATATGTAGGTACTTCCGTATTTTTGCTAAAATAAAAAGAAATCTTTTTCATATTTACTTTTACCTGAAGGCAACCAGCCACACCTAGGTTTAGCCATGAATAAATCGAATATGCCTAAGTTTACCCTACCGTAATCTGCGGAAGCTAGTAGTAACCGGCTAAACCTAAGTGTTTTCTCACTTTTGGCTTTAGCCGTGACATACATATTTAAACTATAATGATTGAAAAAATTTAAAGTGATTATGTTATTTTATAAAGTATAAATTATATTATTTCTATTTCAGGCTATTCAGAAGAAGATTCCGATTACGTAAGAAAAGAACCACGGCAAAAACTTAACCCCATGAGCAAAGTTAAAATGCTTCAGTCTCGATACAGCCAATTCGAGGACAGGCGTAAAAGATCGCTGAACATCACAGAAAATCTTATTGAAAATCCTAATGAATCTAATGCTTCCGATTATATCACTGTTAAAAACTCCGTAGAAATCACCACAAAAGTATCTAATCATAGTAAAATTGACTTAAGCGAAACACTAAAATACGTGGAAGCAACAACAATGAAAAACGTTTCGCTTCCACAAATTGATTCTAGACGCGCTAATTCAGCACTAAAATCGGATGTAAACAATGACTTCGTTAGAACCAGATTCAGGTCGGTGTCCAAGAAAATTCCAAAACTAAACTTTTTCCGCACCAAGGTAAAACCCATGAAGTTCTTCGTAGACTGGGGTAATAACTCCGATGACTCAAGGCCTTCAGAAGAAGATTTTTCATCAAATTTAAAAAAGAGGTCAACAAAAAGAAGAAACGAAAGTCATAGCTTGAAAAGTAATAGGCGCATGGGTACGTTTGCAATTTTTTTATACAATTTTCTTGTTTGGGAATTTCACTTGTGCGGTGACAAGTTGACTTCAGACGAGCGACTTTCATTATCTATTTAAATCTCTGTAAATTATTAATTTTAAGTAACTATTAATTTTATAACGAAAAATTTGGACCCCCGTGGCTTAGTGGTCACTGTAAATATCACAGTAAGAAAGTAAGGAGTTTGACCCAGCCGGCACTAATATAATTATTATTTGCAGTTTTATGTAAGTACTAATTTATCATGTGTTCAGCGTTGAAAGAAAACATCGTAAGGCCAACACAAACTGGACAAGCATGACTCCATACTCCAAAGACTTCGAAATGAGAGGGGACCTGTGCCCAGCGGTAAGACGTATAAAAGCTGTAACTTTATAAGACAATAATTTCATTTAACTTTTTCAGAATATTTCGCTGAAGAGCCCGACGATGGCATAACTCGATCCATGTACGAAATGTATTACAAAATAAAACCGAGGCGCAATTTTAAAATGCGTTCAGAACTTCCACATTCTACACACAGTAGAAGAAATAAAAAGCACAGAGGCAGAAAGACAAAGCACGAAGGAGTAACGACGATATTACCGGAACTTGCAACAAGGAAATCTAGAAGAAACAGAATTAAAAGGAAAGAAATAAAATCTTTTATTGACTTACCATTCTTCACGAATACCGGGAAAAAGAAAAATATGAGAAAAGATAGAATTAGAATAAATAAAGAAAGTGGTCAAGAAAAAGTTAGTGAATTAGAAGAAACTAAAATAAATACTCGGCTGCACAAAGGTGTGTGATGTTTATTATATGTTTTTAATACCTGTAGCCATTTTAATGTCAGATCATTATTATCATTATCATTACAGAGTAGACATACACAATTCCCTGCTGAACTTAGAACTCCTCCATTAATTGCCATAAGGTAAGGTCCCGGACCACTTGCATCCTTAGATATTTGACCATATTTTCATTCCATTAAATGGGGAATTAGCCACACTGACTGTGAGGCTGACCCAAGAACCTTTGGCATCGTCTATCAGTTCTTCCGGCTCATTGCCACTTCGTGCTACTGATTTTTTTATTTATTTATTTATTTTATATATTATTACATTCATTATTTACACATTACTTTACGGTACAATCATAAGTTTATAGAAACTTTACCGTGTACCGGTATCACCGACAATAATAAATATGAGGGTGTAGTAAGAAAAAAGAAATACACTTAGTATTTATTAGTTAATTGCGTAACCTTCTATTGCACAATGCACCGCGCATGGATCGTATATTTTATACAGGGCGCTTGTTTTAGGGCGTTATCGTAATATTTATTATTAAAAACATATTATGAATAATTTAAATTATTAGTAATGCATTCCATAAAGTAATTTTTTAATTTTAATTTAATATTTTTTTGATTTAGTTCTGATTTTACTGATACTGGTAGCTGGTTAATTAGGTTAGGAATCATATATTCTAAGGTACGTTTACCATATAAATTGTTGTATTTAGGTAAGGCTAGTTTAGGTTTTCCTGAGTTGCGAGTTTTAGAGTATTCACATGTATGTGCAATTTTTAACTGTTCATGGAAAAATTCTTCTATAAGAAGGGTAAACTTTACCTTTTCGTGTATAGGTATAATTTTGCAATGACTAAAAAAGGTTGTGGTAATCTGATTCTTTATACTGGTTTTTAATACTATCCGGGACTATAGTTTTTAAAATACGTAATTGTAGTAGATAAATACGTTCTAAATGTGATCTGTACGTTCTACCATAGCTAGACAAACCGTATGCTACTTTTGACTCTACCAGTGATTTATATAGCTGTATAAGTATTTTATACGGAATTTTATACTTAATTATAGAAAATTTTGCAAGCATACCACGAAGTTTATCACATACATGCTCAATATGCTCTTTCCAATTGAGGCACTATCTATCACGAGTCCTAAGTAGGTCTGTGATTCTACCAGGTCTATGGATTCGCAGTTACATTTCGTTTGGACCTGTCGTCTGTGAAGGCATTGATGGTCATGCGCAATAAGCCTAGGTATAACCTTACTCCTATTTTGACTAGAGCTAATGTACATTAACTTAGTCTTCGCAGCATTTAAGACTAATCCTTTATCATGTGACCACTTCATAAGTATATTAAAATCGTCTTGTAGGAGGTTGAGAGTGTCGTTTATATTGCTCCCAGCCGCAACCAAGCAAGTATCATCAGCATACTGGTAAATTTCACATCGCCTGATAATATTTGCCAGACTATTTACATAGGTAATGTAGTGTAAAGGTCCTATTACGGAGCCTTGTGCAGTGCCTACAGATACATTTACTATGTTGCTCATTGAATCACCCACTTTAACCACATGTTTTCTATCGGTGAGGTAATCTTTACACCACGACAGCAGTGGTCCTCTGATACCATTATCGTTCAGACTATCTAATAGTTGCTCATGACGAAGTGTGTCGAAAGCCTTACTGTAGTCTATAAACACTACCAATATGTGTTTTTTCTCATCTAGATGCTTGTAGATGCTGTTTGTGAACGCCGTTAAAAGCTGAGTGGTATTTTTATGAGGTTTAAAGCCAAACTGTTTATTAGTCAGTATATTATTTTTATCATAGAAGTTATAAATCTGTCTACTAACATATTTCTCAGCTATTTTGTTAATGGTAGGTAATATAGCGATCGGCCTATAGTTATTGTAGTCAGACTTATTACCCTTTTTATGTATCGGTCTAACAATACCCGTTTTTAGTACTTGGGGATACTTGCCGTTCCTAATACTTGCGTTTATAAGATTTGTAATAGCTACTTTGACCACTGAGCATATTTTTTTAATATCTATGGCTCGTATACCATCAATACCAGGAGCTTTATTATGGTTTAGAGACTTAATGATATTTTCCACTGCAGTCGTGTCTGCAGGTATATACCTCATAGATGCATTGGCGTTTTCACGATAGATTGACTTATCCAGTAGAGGTGTTATGCATTTTGGTATGATTTGTTGCAAATTTTCATCAAAAGTCGTAGCAAACGTGCATGCGATGTTTTTAGCTGTATTCCTGCCATTGCTGAAGGCTTTAAGTAATAAATTATCAATCGACTGTTTTATTCTGCCGGTCAATCTATTTAATATTTGCCAAAGATATCGTGGATTATTTTTATTATTATTTATTTCTAATTTTAGCCATTCATTTTTGCTTTTTTGAATTAATGAGTTTGCATAGTTTCTTGCTTTGTTGTAAGTTTGTTTTAAAATCTTATTTTGGCTGTCCTTAGTCCATTTATTAAATAATTTATCTCTGTACTCACATGCTTTTAAAGTTTTTTTATTCAACCATTCATTATTTACTCGCTTAGCTTTTATTTTAATTTTTGATTTATATTCGCTGGTTTTGTAACATTGTTTAAAGTTGTCATTTATAAAATTATAAATTTGTATCGGACAGGTCATGGTATTCGTTTTTTGCCATTCGATTTCACTTAATGATTTTATTAAGGCATTGTTATTAATACAAGTCTTGATTTTAGAAACGACCTGTATACGCGACCCAACACAGGCAAACACTATCGCGCGGTGGTCCGCCAGTGTCGTACCGATAGCAGCTGTGAAAAGGTCTTGTGTATGGGATCTCGCGTTAATATGATCTATACAAGATTTGCTTAACTTACCACCCGATATTTCTATTCGTGTGTTAGCGGTAATCCCACGTACAAGAACCAAGCTGTACATTAAGTTAATATATTTATGTTTTACAGGACTATCGGAATTCAGGTCAATATTTATGTCGCCTATTACATACAACTCTTTATTACAACAGTATTTTTGTAAAGTGTTTTCAAGCTCAATAAGAAATAAGTGTTTACTGTTTTTAGGAGGACGGTACACGGCACATAGGTCCGCAGAATAGCCCGAGTCGGAAATGATAGTGCATATAATACTCTCAAAGTGTTCTGTTTTGATGTTTTTAGTGTTAAAATTATGTTTATTATTTACGTAAATTACAATACCACCACCACTTCGGGCTTTTCGCAGACAAGTTAACATTTGGTATCCTGTAATTTGAAAAAGACAACTAATAGACTCCGTAATATTAGCCTCAGTTACCACAATGACATCTATACACTGGTTGGAAGTTATAATAGTTTGCTCTAAACAGGCAAAGTTTTTTATCATAGACCGTATGTTGATATGCATTCATAACAAGGTAATACCATGATTTTTGGGTAGAAATTTAAGAAAATTGTTGATATTTGTACAATCTAAACATTCAAATATTTCATCACTTAATGTTTCCATTCAAAAAAAAAATAAAAATAAAATATATAAAAGTACTTCTAAAATCAATAATAAAAACAATATATACCTTATTATTAAACTACTAATTCTGTTTGGCTAATATGTGCACATCATTTAGAGTTCTTAGATAGTGTATTTTACTTATATCATCCTTACGTGCTTTTACGGACCCTTTTTTTAAACCAGACGTACTTGTAGTTAAGCTTCGTTTTTAATTCCTGTTTCGCTAGCCATAGTATTTGTTTATTTAGTCGAGTCATAGTTTCCCTGATATACACGATGGCATTATTGTTTTGTTCTTGTGGATGGATATCTGCAACGGTCGCTGCTGTTGATCTTGCTGCTGCCAGCCACTTTTCCTGCATACTCTCCTCTTTAAGTTCCACTACTAAGTTACCAATTTGCTCTCCTCTCCCTCGCAGCCTAAGTGATTTCTTGATACCGGTTTTGGGTAAGTTTAACTTCATAGCCAAATTTTCGACTAGGTTTTCCACATTCTCATTTTTATGCCAGGGTACATTTGCAACTTCTATCTGCTTTGAGAGTTTTTCTTGTTCCAGCGCTTGAATTTGTTGTTCTAAGACGCCCACCCTGGTTTCCAAGTTGTTATTTTTGTTACTTAGTTCAATGTTCTTTTTTTCTAAATTTTTGATTGTTTGTTTGAATGTTTCGATACATCCCATTACTTCATCAAGTTTGGCACTATGAAACTGTAGGGAGTCGTTTACTTGCCTCATTTCATTTCTTATGGTTTTTTCTACTTCCCTTGAGATGTCCTTTAGTAGTTTCGCAGAGTCGAGTTGAGCTAGATTTTCAGCATCCTCTTCATCTTCGTCCTCTGGTACAAATATTGAAGATTTACGCTTCGATGACTCCTGCACACATTCCAGGCATGTCCATCCCAAACCAGGAGATGCTGCTTTAAGAGCATTGAGCTGCTTGTTGGTTAATCCAGTGCATTTTGTGCTGATATGTACTAAACGCTCACATTTGTTGCATTCCACTCCTGGGGAACTTTTTGTAATAGATTTATTACAGTTGTCGCATTTGGTAGACATAGTAGGTAGTTTCGAAAAAATTATTTAGTTAAACAATAGAAGCTCACGCGGTTATCGATAGGTGCAATGCACACGACGTTTCGGCGGTGAATGGCGACGTTGGGCGGAATTGATTGGGTTAAGCACTTTTTCTTGCCTTTCATTCCATTGAAAGGACATTGCTCAGCGCCCATACATTGTTCGCCCTGGAACCAAAAGCATCGTAAATATGTGTGTTATATTTTCGATCATTAGGTAATTCCTATATGATCTTATTTTCATAGCGGACTAGCTGCAGAAAAAGTATATTTCAAAAAAAAGTATCAGATTTTGAGCGACTACCATTATTAAGGTTTTTATAATTTGGTGTGATTTTTAAGAAACTGAAAAACAATATCGGGATACACTTAACAATTTTAATAACGTCTTTCAACAACATAAAACCACTAGCAGAGCCGCAATTTACACAAAGTACACTATTCGTTGCATATGCGTAACAAAGAGAATATAAACTCCCCTAATAAAAGTAAGTGTATGAAAGGGCGCCAAACTACTCTACCAACATTGACATGAAATTAATTTTTAGAACAACAGTGCTGACAACATAGGCGAATTATACTAGTTCTGTAAATGTCTATCCTCGAATAATTTTATCGATATAATGTTTATTGATTTATCGTTTATCGAAATTTTTATATTAATAATATTAATTATCATAAACTCGTAAGTGATCGTTTAGTTAGAAGTAAGCCACACAAAGGGACGTCCTAGGCGGAAGTCCAAAGGCCAAATTAAAGAACAGGGAGGGTGTCCCCGTGGAGGCGGGGTTTTATAACCCAACAAAAAAAAGTTTCCGTTTGACCTCATTCATTAGGTATAGTAGGTTTTTTAAATTATATTTTTAGGGAATAACAAAAAGGAATGATGGTTGATTGTTTTTATTATAGTTTCTATTTGCACTTTATTCGTAATAAATTCAAAATGTGAATTAGATTAAAAAATATGCAACTGTTCATTAAAAATTCAAAAGATCAATTATAATCGATTGGGCGTCCCTAGTAATTTTTATACACCACATGACGTTTAGAGAAGATGGCGGCGATAAATGTTATAAGTCGAATAGAATACTTTTTTAATGTTCATTTTGGCATGCAACTAGTCTGTGTTATTAAAATATTTACGAAAAATATAAAAAAAAATAATTACCGTGTATGTCCGATGTTTTTATTACACAGAGCGATTTTGGACATTGTCCTTTCAGCGGTACTACAGTCCCTTCAGCGATGTCAAAACGACTGTCGGTATACTGAAGTTCTGAAAGGTTTATAGGGCTACGATAGCTATCCGAGTACGAAACCTATCCAATTACAAGGGGTGTAAGACAAGGTGACGTTATATCCCCGAAACTCTTTACCACTGTTGAAGACATTTTCAATCTACTGAACTGGAAAGGATACGGTATTAACATCAATGACGAGTACATCACTCACCTTTGATTTGCTGACGATATAGTCCTTAAGGCAGAATCACTGGAGGACCTAAGCACTATGTTCAACGACCTCAATAGTGTCTCCCAACGGATAGGTCTAAAGGTGAACATGGAGAAGACAAAGGTTATGTATAACGTCAATGTCACAACCATGCCGGTAGTTGTTGGGAGTACTAAGCTCGAATCAGTCCACGAGTATGTCTACCTATGACTAGTAGACCGGCTTGGTAAGTCCAACTTCGACTGGGAGGTCAATCGTAGGATTCAACTAGGCAAGGCAGCGTACGGATGATTACGTCTCATCTTGTCTGGTATAACTCAAAAACTCAAAACACTACTGGCTATATGACGGATATCCGCTGTAGAACCAGAATAACCGATATTGCCCAACGGATTAGTAAGCTGAAGTGGCAATGGGCTGGCCATATAGCTCGAAGTACCGACAATCGATGGGTAAGAAAGCTTCTCGAGTGGCAGCCTTGTACCGGTAGGCAAATATGAGGGCCCCCACTAGATGGAGTAACAACCTGATAAGGTTTGCAGGATGGGTGCAGGTGGCTCAAGATCATAGCTTGAGGCGTTTCTTGCGGCCTATGTTCAGCAGTGGACTTGTGATGGACTGTATTGATGATGATGGTGATGATGAAAAAGCAATGCACGCTCGCGCTTGCCATAGGCAACATTGCAGGTGGTGTATTTTGCGCTGGTATTTTTCTGTAGTATTTATTACACCAGCAGTGTAGTTTTTCCGCGGTCGAATTACTGTTTGTGCTGCTACCTTAAACGCGTGGCTCCGCCAACTTATTGTAATAAACGAGAACTTTTTGATGGTCTTTTAACTCGTCCTAAATAAAACTTTACTATTTAGCAGATTTACATGCAGATATCGCACCAAAGTCCGAGTTGGCACACCTACGAGCTAAGAGACGTAAGGAAGAAACAATCAGCAGCTTCCAAGATGACGAAAGTATATCCACCGGCGCTGAAGAAGAATCGGAGAACGTTGAAGAGTCAAGTAAGGAATGGGAAAACAATAGGAGAAAGAGGTTAACAAATAGTCTTATAATATTTTAATATTAATAATGATTTTTTAATTGATTGGTATTTTCGACAAATATGAACTTTTCCGTTTTTCCGTTTCTTTAATGAATGAAATGATAAGTGAAATTGCAATTTACCTGGAAGTAAATTGTTACTGCAGTCCATGTAACCCTCCAGCTAACTTCAAACAAAGAATTCTACAAATGTGTTTTCACCTCCGAGCGTTAGGATGAATGCCTCACAGGCTGTAATATTATACTAGCTTCCAATATTCTTCAAACCGGAACACAGCAGTGCAAGCATTGCTTTTGGCGGCAGAATTAGGTAAGAGGATAGAACTCAACAAGACGAACTGCTGGGAGGAGTACAGATCAGCGAGCTTAGCCGGGCATTTTGGTAGAAAGGCCGGACACACTTAATTTATCTTAAATTCTAATATTATAACAATAACATTGAATAAATCAGTCTTTTTTATTATTAATTATTCAATATTAATTTCAATATTATGTATGGTAGTACATGAAAAATTTAAAAAATGGTCTAAATTAAAAAGCCTAACAAAAGCCGGACAGGCCGGACACCGTCTAATTTGGCCGGACACGCAACCAAAATTACCCGGACGCCTGGCAACGCTACTACCACCTAATGAGAGGTTGTGGCAGTGTAAGAGAGTCCACTAGTCCAATATCATCTCGTGGGTGTTGTAAGTGTGGCAAATGTCCCAATGAGATAAAACTATTTTTTAAACGTTACAAGAATTTTCTTCTGTATCGCAGAGACATTTTACATACATAAATTTGACAATTACATACATCCAAACCCGGAACAATTATTTGTAGGCCATACAAATACTTGTTCTATGAGGAATTCGAACCCACAGCCCTCAGCGCCGCATCTCGTTGCTATGCCACTGCGCCACGGAGCCGTGAAAGGAGGCCTTTGTTCAGTAGTAGACTTATAATGGGATATAGACAACGAATCCATACAGAAATACGCGTAAGTAAACTTAACTGTGCGGCCTCCTCTAATTTTTTTTAATTGTATTCTCTCCCTTGATTTATCCTCAGAACTATAACATATCTGCATTATGATTCTAAAGATGGGATAAATTTGTCTGTGGGCTACAAATTACTTTAAGACTTGTACGCTTGAACTCATTATCTTGCGCGTACTTGTCCACGCCTATTAACTTGCCGAGTTTGTTATTCCTTTAGGAATCCCTGGGCTACAGCATCCTTTCACCAAAAGGTGACGTGTTTTAGCCTTTATTTGTATAAATAAATTCGCAGCCTACCTATTACCTGAACTATCATGGTATATTATAAATTAAAAGGCCTTGCCAAAATGGCTCCTAAAGATCTTGTGTCCCGTCGCAGGTCAGATAAAATATGATAATAAATGTAGTCTTTATTCAGCCCAATTATTGTAAAGAACTATAATTCAAACGTTACAGAACTGCATCAAAGGAGGAAGAGGGCCAGGAGAGCGCTTCAGACACTCAAGAAAACGCCGAATCCGAATTCGTGGTCACATTGCGTCCCACACAAATACGCACGTTCGTCATTTGGTTCGTTGACAACCGCAAAACGTATACGTTGTAATGTATTTCAAATAAGAGGCTTGATACAACTTTAGGTTAATTTTTGTACCTTTTTATCTTTTCTAACCTTTTACACGAAAAAGTTTTAGATGTATGAGAAATCTTGAACGCTAGAACGCTACATTGCAGTTGACGGCAAAATAACAGGCAGTCTAAAAATATATCAATGATTCATTTATAATCTATTAAAACAATATACGTATATATTTTTTTATAAATTTTCTGACCTTGAAACTTATTAGTGCAGGACTTAAAAACCAACAAGATTCTAGTACAGTATTATATTAGGCGGAAAAGATTTAAAAAATAATATTTGGAAAATCCCGACAGTGCCCTCTTGCACGCATGATATCACGACCGTGTCTTCTAATAGGTGGCGCCATAGAGGGTTGCTCACCAATATTATATTAGGAATGAGCGGAAGTTGTGAAGTATAGGATCATAGAATACTATAATACATACATAATGGAACGGGGGACAACAATTCAAATGACAACTCCTACAAAATAAGGTTGACAGCCATTCTATTGTGTATTATAGTATTCTATGTATAGGATGTAGACTGTCTGCATCCTTGACTTCATTTTACCAAGTAAGTCACTTTCTTGTTTATGTGCCTGTCATTCTGGGTGGATTCTTGCAATTCAAATTTCGAGCATCTTCTTGATGAGCTTTCCATTTACTCAGATTAAAAAAAAGTTCTACGTGAAATTTTAATAGACCTCTGTTCGCACATCTCGGTCCAGTCGACGATGTGTACATCGGTATGCATTGATGGTGACGTAGCTCGATTTATTAGTAATTTACCTTTTTATCGACTGACAAATGTCAAAATCGTTTTTACTGATAAAGGGCTTAAAGATTATTACCGCATATTGTATAACTATTTTCTCCTACTTGTATGGTTATAGTAGTCGCCGTGTAGTGGCCGCGTTACTAGATCACCACCACCACAGAAACGGAAGATGGGCAGCAGTATATTGCTGATCACAACCAAAAATAACTGCGGTTGCCACCCAGCCTGCTAAGCGTGGTAATTATGGTAAAATCCCCCCCCTCCCCAATTAACTTTTGGTAGGCTTAATGAATGAATGAATGGATGAATATGATTGGATACTTTTACAACAACGTTCTTATTTAATCTGCAGTAAACCATTCTCTTTTTTGAACAAGCTAGAAACTTATTTTAAATAAAACAATCAATAGGGCTATATAAAAACAAACATATAATACGTGGTATAGGTACAGTACACTGCTGCACTAGGCATGGGACAAACCCACGTATGGAAGGTTTCACGTAACTTTCACGTTAGGCGAACCTTCAGCACTTTATTTTCGTAATGATATTGTCAAAATTCCGCTCTGTCTCGAAAGTAATTTGATAATTCCTACATTTCCCTTATAAAATACACACATAGGTTTTTATAGCTTTTATCTTAAAAATAATATATCGTTGTAATGCCTGAATAGCGTTCAAGTGAGGTTGTAATATTTTCATCTAGCATTGCTATGTATTATTTGTCGTAAATGAAACTCTGTATGCAAATCAAAAAATATTTTATTAAATACATTTATACAAACAATGAGCAGTTTAACTAACCATTCTCCCATTTCCTACAAGCGGTCTATGCTCTAGAGAGGCACTGTATAATATTAAAAACTTTTCAAACAATAAAATTATTGTTATAGTAACAACAAGTGTTTACATAAAGTAATAAAATTTTCTCTACAGTTTCGTTATTTATTTATTTTTATATGCGGTACCTCAACAGTTTGTATACTTTTAAAACATTTAAAACCCATTATCATCATAAAAAATGTGTACGTTATTTCGGGTATTGCCCAATTTATAAATTTTGATTTCCCTCGTCAATATTAATGGAAGCATGATAAACCCCATGTAACGCACAGAATCATTTGATTGATGCAACAATAGAGACGGGATTGAAAGATAAATGATTGCTTTATAAAAGAACATAGAAATGGAATAGGTTTTTTTTTTGCAAATTTTCTAACTTCGAAACATATTAGTACAGTACTTAGCAAGTGGTAAATTTATAAAATGTTGTAGAACTGACTTCAATATAAATTAAATAAGAACATCAGCAATGTAGTCAATTGAAATCAATTGAATACTCATTATTAACGATAACTCAAAAATTATGGGACCACGTGAGAAGCACCAGCTTTTAAAATAAAAAAAAGAATCATCAAAATCGGTTCACCTAGAAAAAAGTTCTGAGGTAACACACATAAAAATACAGTCGAATTGAGAACCTTCTACTTTTTGAAGTCGGTTAAAAACAAACTAGAATCTAGTGTAGTTTTAGTATTAAAAAATTTGTTAAAATATTTCCACCTCGATTCATGCATTAAATTTGATATCTCATACTGAAGTCCACGCGTTTTAGTTTTTGTTTCATATATAGTAACACTAATTCTGTATAACGTAAATTCGAACGTTCTCAACGATTTTAAAATTTTAACAATAAACAGGTATAGTCATCTACAGAGCATAAACCGAATCTATCCTAAAACAATACAATTGCATTAATCTGAATAGGAATGTACCAATATAATATGTTTCTTTTGTACGTAAAACAGGTTTTAAAAATATTAAAACCAAATATCTACCAGCTCGATAACAAAGCTCAAAAACTTTTATACTTATTTAAACAAATAATATATAGCGGAATTTTTTCTCATCTACACAAAGCTACTATAATTGTTTGTGTGAATTAGGATTTCTCGTTTTTTCCAGCTAGTTATCAAAATATACATTTTTTTATTAAAAAGAAAAGATTTCCCTGTATTATAAATTTAGACATACAGAAATACATTTTCACTACCGAGACCCATACAAATAAATTATGTCATTATAAATAAAATCCCTACTTATGAATATATTGCCACTATGACACATTTACAACCATTTGCAATATTATTGCATTGTGATTTGTAACCGCATTAGTATAATAAGTCTATGATTGTAACACTTATACAAAGATCGTGTATTCGTTCTAAAGTAAATAAATCCCAGATTGGAATAAAAATATGAAAGCTTTATTACCAATTAATAAAAAGTGCTTTATGATATTATATTAGTCTTGAATACATTTCTTTAAATATTTGTGATATATAGCGCATACATTATACATACAATATTTAACAATATTCCAACACTTGGGTAGTTGATAATATCTTTAATAAACAACATTATATAATTTGGACTTGTTACTTTTAATAGTTTTACGTAGTTAGTTTTACGTTTTAAATTAAATTAGATTTTTACTATTGAAAAAATATAAAATACAAATATACAAATTTTTATTTACTAATAAGACGTTATATATCTTTGATATTTTTATATAATTTCTGTACAAAACATTCAGTTTTAACAATTCGCAAAACTAATTCAACTAACATGAGTATCAACTACCCTACTTTCTACATAGAGAGAATCAGGACGACCTTGCATTAGATGCAAGTTACCTAGTAATAGAACGTTAAAAAAAGTTAAAAATAATTTACAATAAAAAGCATCAAATTTTTTTCTACTGAAGTTAAAAGCCCGAGATCATCCAAAATGACATAAGATTTCTTCTCTTGCTCGTCTTTACATAACGACTTCTCTAAATAGATTTCTGCCCATTTCAAATGATTTGACAGATGACAGAATTTAATCTGATAGATGTCAAATAAGAACACACAGATTAAAATAGCATTCAAGAGCATATTTAGTACATAGAAAAAACCTGGAATGATATATATCACCAATATACCATAAAAAATTTAGATCTTTTTTATTCAAAGAAATTAAACAAACAAACAACCAAATAACAGGGTTAAAAGCGTATATCCGATGAAATTTCGAGTTCCAAGAAATAGCTGTAAAGTTTATTCGAATATACGTTCGGATAGAGCAGAGATTTCCAAAGTGGTCGATATTGACCCCTTGGAGTCGAACTCAATTTCCCAGGGGTCGACATAAACGAAAACTGATAATTCGTAACTGTAATTTATATTAATAATTATTGATGACACTTGATATTTACTGAATTTTATGTCTATTCATTTTGTTCAATTTTGATGAGGAAATGATGTCAAGTTTACTCACTTAACCAACCGCAAAGTTTTAAATTGTTAAGTATTTTGTATGAATAGGAAAAAAACTAGAGATAGGATTTTTAAATTAATTTGGCTATGAGGGTCTGAAGTATCAGTTAATTTTGGATATGGGGTCTCTTGCTCAAAATAGTTTGGGAATCCAAGGGCAGACTTGTTATTACTTGTCTATAGTATCAAAATACTTGCAATTTTTATAAAATGCAGCAAATATTTTTCTAAAAAATGGTTTGGTGCTTACATCTACCCCTTTCAATATATTAACGTAAACTATAATTGGTCAATTTGCTATGGTTTAGTAACTTAATGAGATATAGATATTAAAACATTTAATGATGAATATTCAAGTTTAAAACGGCATACCATTTCATACTGGTAACACAAGCAGAGTTTAACTTACATTGGCGACAGATTCATAGTTCTTTAACAAACCATAAAATGTATGTAAGAACTCATACGACAGTCATACACACAAAATGATTAACAAAACGATTCTGTACGCACAGAGTTGCTACATTAGAGCTATTTGTTAAATACATACAGTATCACAGAACCTATTGTTCCATTTCTAAAGCTGTGAGTTTTCGTACGAATTCGGCCCGTTGAGATGGGGTGAGTTCCTGAAAAAAAAATTAAGTTATATTAATCTGCACACTCAATAAAAACAAAAAAGCACCGATAGGGTTTAAAAAAAATAAGATAATAATATTTTTAAATTAAAAATAAAAAAAAAAGAAATTAATTAATTTATTTTTTAAAATAAACAAAAAACACATTCACACCCAAAAAACCCCAACCCCCCACCCACCAAAAAACCCCCCACCCCCCCCCCACCCCCCAACCCCTAATCCTCCTCCCTCCCTTTTTTTATAGGAGAGGTGGCAAACGAGCATACGCATTAGTATAATAAGTCTATGATTGTAACACTTATACAAAGATCGTGTATTCGTTCTAAAGTAAATAAATCCCAGATTGGAATAAAAATTATGAAAGCTTTATTACCAATTAATAAAAAGAGAGAGAGGGGGCAAACGAGCATGCGGCTCACCTGATGGTAAGTGACTACCGCCGCCCATGATCAGCTGCAACACCAGGGGGATTGCAGATGCGTTGCCGACCTTTTAAAAAGGAATAGGCTCTTATCTTGAAGGTCCCTAAGTCGTATCGGTCTGGAAAAATCTCTGGTGGTAGTTGATTTCACAAGGAAGTTGTGCGAGGAAGAAAACTTCTTTTAAATCGCTTAGTGGTGGACTGCCAGTCATCCAGATGGTATTAATATTTTGTTTTAACTTCAAACAGTGAAGGTTAAAGATGCTTTGTCATCTCTGAAAGCTGCGATGATACGCCCCACGGCTCGTGTATAACTCTGTACCCACAGCAATACAAGCACGGCTATTGTTTGGCAGAAACAGGCAATCTGCCCAGACGGATTCCTACGTAGGAACGGCATCCTACAGCCTATAACTAATGAGGTTCCTCTGATTGGAGAAGTGAAAAGAAGAAGTGTAAATTGTGTGGGATACAAGCCAACTACGTTTGTATATAATTATTAATTTAAATATCTGACCATGACGAGGTTGTTGCAGGCTTGCAGCACGGCGTCCTGCTTGATGGCGCGTAGGTTCCTCTCCAGCACGGAGTTCTCGTCGCCCGCCTGCGACTCTAGCCAGCGGCATACGGCCTCGTTGTCATTTTCCCACTGGTGGGACTGTTGGGCAAAAGCAATCGGTTATAATATGGCTCACATATCTAATTAAATAATTAGCGGTCAATTTCTTTAGGAGGTCGCTATACAGGGTTTTTCATTAAGAGCGCTCGAACTTTGAAATAAAATAAAAGAACCTATGTAAGTGATATTGTTACAATTCTTATTATATTTTAATGGACATTCGATGAAATCATGTATGGAATATAATTACAGTCAAATGGCCGCCATGGCTCCGATGTATTAGCCTGGTGGACCAATTTTGGACGACATTTTCACCTAAATGGGCTTCATTTCAGGAAGAACGCGAGTTATGTTGGCCTTCAGGTTGACAATTGTCTGTGGTTTATTTGCACCAGAGATTTCACGTGGCCTACAGAATGAAGTCGAGTTATGTTAAGCATAGAATACTATAATACACAATAGAATGGCTTTCAAATTCAAATTCAAATTGTTTATTGCATGTCACATTACAAATTTAAGATGGTACAATTTTGATAGGTGTACATGTGACGCCCTGCAGGGGCATAGCAAAACTAGAGGGCTAACTATTTTCTTTTATTTTTAACCATAAATCAACAACTTTATTTTGTACGAGGTTTGGCGTCGCTTAACCCGATTCGCTGTGTTGACAGACTGAATAAATTTACACATTTTAGACTTTTGATTATTGTTCAAGATCATCATTAAAAAAATCGTTTAAAAATTTTAATACATATTTATTTGTAAATAGTGTGCAATTTGGCATTTTTTTAAATAATTTGCATGCAGCGACGCTTGACACGAAAATTGGAAACGATTGTAACGTCAACACACATCTCGTGTTGAAAATTATACGTGTGAATTGACCGTGTTAGTGGCATTTTAGTGGCTACACGGGCTCCGCCCACTCCTCCGTTCTATTATGTATGCATTATAGTATTCTAAGGTGTTAAGTCACATGACCTCGGTGGTCAGTTGATATCGCCACTAGCCAAACTGCACGATAACAATTCAATGTTCTCGTACAGTATGGCAAGTGGCGCTGTCGTGTTGGAACCGTATGTTTGTGATGTCTATACCATCTATCCAAGACCATAAAAAATTTATATTATCTTTCGATATCGGTCGCCATTGACAGATATCGCGGCTTTTGGCGCATCTTCAAAGAAATAAAAGCCGATGATATCGCTAGACTAATATCCACATCAAATAGCAACTTTTTCGGTGTATAAAGGGATCTGATGACTTTTCAGTGGAATTTTGTCGCTTTAATTCTTCTGTATTTTTCTTTGTTAACAAAGACATTCAACCAGGAATGAGTCTTATACTGAAGATGATTTTTTTACCGAAAGCAGGGTCAGCCGTTAAATACTTTAAAGCCTAATGAATGAATAGAGCTAAAACCAATACATAGTTTAGTTTTTAGTTATTTTAATTAATTTGTATGGTTGAAAATCCAAGTTTTGATGCAAAATCCACTAAATTGACGTCGCAGAGAGACCCAGCTCGTGCGCACGACGCGGAATGGACTGTTTGCTGATTATTGATCACTGACCAGACCTGGTTATCTCAAATTTATTCATTAAACGACGGATTGTGAACTCTGCAGAACTTCCACAAATGCCATAAATTGGTTGCAAAGTACGGAATATTAGAAGAAACAGAGCAATGAGTTTTGTAGTATATTTTAAAAATTTTCACGCGTTATTGAACCGTATCATTAAATTCCACTAAATAAGTAGTATATACTATAGTCAACCAAATCGAGAAATACATTTTGACAACTGTCAGACTTATTGCACCAAGCATGCCAACCAAAAAATGGGAACGTACAATATTCGATTCTTAAAAAAATCGATATCGATTATTTAGTTGGTAATCATTTACAGTTTGGTTTGAATAATACCAGAATAAATTAAAAACGGATAATTTATAACACAAGACTTATCAGTTTCTTCGTATTTGTTGTTACTACTTATTTCTAGAGGCACAGTTATAAAAATTTAAGATTTAAACTAGGTTAAAAATAAATTCATTCAATCACTTCCAGGTCAACTAGTAGGGATGTCGTAGTTTATATTAATTATTATTTGATTTTCAATAATGCAGTCAAAACTAATGTCTCCTTCAAAGTCATCCATAATCATTTTTTGTTTTTTCTACCACTCTTGCTCAATCATCCTTTGTGACATGGAGACATGCTTTAACGAATTTTTTATTGCATTGGGTGACAAACGAGCAGTGGCGAAGCTAGAGCTCCAAACTAGGGCAAGCCCAAGATATAAATTGATAAAAATATAGATTGTTGTTTTTAGCAGTTTTATAAAAATACATCAATCTTGATCTGTCTCCACGCTTCAGTTTCATATTCAGTGCTGTCAAGGACGTATTTAACAAAGCACACAGAAGGCATACCAGTGCTAGATAGATTATATTACATATCAGAAACTGAATAGCTTCGGTGGCTTTGAAGAAAGCCGTTTGGGATTGTTTGAGCGAAAGAAAAAGATATTTAGGTACATACAATACAATACATGAACAAAAGTAAAACATGAACAAAGTACAAACTATGTACAAAATTTAAAAAAAAATATATTTATATTCTAAATGGAATCGTCTCTCTTTCTTAAGGAAAGATTTAATTACGTCCACGTAAAATGTTGGTGAACGTTTTAATTGTACCAATATCCGTTTTTTTATTGCGATAATTGACAAGTCTGAAATACACTCTTGACCTTGTGTATTATCTCAACAAAGTTTAAAGATTTCCTCTCCGATTATCACTTTAACACACTTAAATTCCTCAAAAGGAACACTATTATCCTCCATTTTCACTAAAAACCTTTAAAAAAAACATACATTTTCAACTCGCAATATTAAATTGCTTAAGCTAAACATACAGAGTAAATAAACATTGAAATGTGAACTGAACTTGCAAACGTTGCCTGCGCGCCTCTGCTTTTGACAATTTCATTCCTAAAGCCTGGATTTAAATCTCTATACTAATTGCTATATATACAATCGTAGTTATATTTCACTATAGAACATTTTTCCATAGGTTAGAAAGAGATCGTCTTCTCGAAAGCCCCGTAAAAAGCCCATGCGAGCGAGAGAGACAACTAATCGCTCTATTAAAACTCAATTTTTAGGCCAGCATATCGCTAAGGCAATACGAGGTCATCGGTCGACCTGTGTCAAACAGTGGAGTGCGCGGGAAATGAAAATTGAAATAGTTTGAAACAGTTTATGAGTTGTTTTATTAGTTGATATTATTGATTGATTCAGTTTGATAAGGCAAGCCCGGCTTTTCGGCTTCTATGGAGGCTTCGCCACTGCAAACGAATATACAGTCCATCTGATGGTAAGTGGATGCTATGGCCCATGGACATACACATTTATCCTCAATTAAGAATCAAAATGCAAATGCGTTGTCACCCCTGAGGACTAAGATGGAATGCCTCGATTCCAGTAAAAAGGGTCTCCGGTTCTCTACACTCACCATATAAAACACATCAGCATTACGCTGCTATTTTACGCCGGTATTCTGTGAGCGTGGTCCTGCCCTGGTTGAGCCGACCCATTCGTGCTACAACTATAATATAGAAGTAGAGTGGCTCTACCACGTACAAAAAGTTACTATAGAAGAAACAGTCCAAAAAGTTAAAGCCGAGTCACAAAATAAGAAGACAAACACAAAATTACAAAATTACGCACAATAAGCTCTCGAAACAGAAATAGAAACTTTTTTATTCATTATAGATTATGAATAATACTTATTGAAAGTCACTTTTTTATTTACCACTGGTTCGCAAAAAAAAAACCTCTGTCCTGAGAAGAACCAGCAAGAAACCCAACGCGACTAGTTTTTTTTTTAAATAAGAGCTTACAATCATGCGTGTTACAATTAACAACACAAAACAAATTAGAAATAGCTTGGTAGCGATCACCCTTCCCAGGGGTTATTATCATCCGTAATTTCCTCAATATTAAAATAACCCTTTTTATTCAAAGTTAGTTTAATAAGTTTTTGAACTTTGTGTACTTACGTCAAATTTTGTATATTTTCTGACATTTTGTTATAAAAGCGTATACATTGCCTCAAAATTAATTACTGATACTGTACGAGCAAGTACATGATATTTCAACAGTTTAGAAAATAATGCTGATATCGCGCCTGCGCGCGCGACACGTTCACTATAATTACATTTTTTATTCATAAGTATTTTCAGTACAATAAACGCTCTCTACGGAAACGGACACAGTTTTAATTACCACATCCCGTAACGTAGAAGATACAACCTACATTAATATACTACATATCAATTATATGTAGAGGGTCACAATTCACAAAATACCCCCTACATTTTGGTCCTTCGAGTTTTCGACGTGAACTAAGACTTGCATATTACGTCTACAATAGTTCAACAGTAAAGTGTATTTGAAAAAAAAAAAAAAAAAAAAAAGAGTTATTCGTGATTCTATCTGTAGTGTCACTTTGGTTGCTGGCCTCCCACAAGCGGGTCTCACCAGCTTGATTGAGGTGCATACTACGGTAAGAGTCGCAGTCACACGTATCTGAAACCAACTATTTACAACATCGTTCTTAAACCATGGAGAACCTACTTCAACAACAGAGAACAATCATTGAATCTATCCTTAAAATTGAGGCTAACTTCAAAAAGGATTCTGATTCACGTAAGTCAGGAACATACATACAGAAAAGGTTGGATGCTTTGAATGCTCAATGGGAGGTGTTCAACATGAATCATGGTGTTCTAAAAAAAACAGACAGTGACTTGGATGACGACTATTTCATCAATGATACCTACACCACCACAAAGAAGCGGTACGAAGCGATTCGTGACATGCTGACGAACTACGAGGTGAAAACTGCGGAAACTGGAGTACCATCAAGGTCTGATGAGTTCATTAGCCAACAACGCACTAATTTCCGGGCGCTCTCTAGGGTGATTAAAAACATCAACACCAAAGAGTTGACAGAAAAGTGGGAAATTTGTGAC